ATTCTTACAGATTTGACAAAGTTCTTTATGTATTTGAGATGTGAGACCTTCAGCTGAGAAATTGTGTATAAAAATATTTTCCTAATTTTCTGCTTTCTTTCTGATCTTGGCTACATTTGTTTTATTTGTACAAAACCTTTTTAATTTAGTGTAATCAAAATTATCCATTTTGCACCTAACTTAATCTCTCTCTTGTTTATTCATAAATTGTTCACCTATCCATAAGTCTGATAAGTAATATGTTCCATGTTCTTCCAGTTTTCTTGTAATATCTCTCTCTATATTTAGGTTATGTATCCATTTTAGTAAATGATGTAAGATATTGGTCTATGCCTAGTTTGTCATACGGCTGTACAGCTTTCCAACAATTTACCAAATAATGAATTCTTATCCCAAAATCTTAATTCTTTACACTTGTCAAATACAAGGTATTGTGTTTATTTGCTGCTATAAAGTGTGTGTCTACTCTATTCCACTGATCTACCTTTTTATTTAGCCAGTACCAGATAGTTTCAATAATTATTACCTTATAATGTAGTGTAAGATCTGGCACTACTAACCCTCTTTCCTTTACATTCTTTTCATTATTTCCTTTGATATTCCTGACTTTTAGTTCTTCCAATATTTACCCTTTTCATTTTTTTATGCTAGTGATTTAGTTTTCATCTCTTTTTAAAAAAATTAAATTAACCAATTGTTTATTTTATTTGTTTTTTTCCCATAAAACCAACTCCCAGTTTAATTTCTTAATTCAATGGTTTTTTTACTCTCAATTTTATTAATCTTACATTTAATTTTTAGGATTTCTAATTTGGTGTTTAATTGGAGATGTTTAATAGTTTCTTAGTTTTTCTAATTTTTAAATTGTACATCCAGTTCATTAGTCTGCTGCTTCTGTAGTGATGTAAGCATTTAAAAATATAATTTTTTCTCTATTGCTTTTGCCTTATCCCATAGGTTTTAATATGTTGTCTCCTTATTGTCACTCTTTTTAATGAAATTATTGATTATTTATATGATTTTTTCTTTAACTCCCTCATTGTTTAAGATTAGGTTGTTTAATTTCCCATTAGTTTTTAATCTAAGTTTCTGTGGTCCCTTATTAAATATAATTTTTATTGCATTATGAACTGAAAAATATACTTTTAATATTTTAATTTAATATTCAACAAATATAATTTAATATTTCTGCTTTTAAGTATAAAATTTTTATGTTAACTGTGGTCAATCTTTATAAAGGTACCGTGAACTTCTGAGAAAAAGGTGTATTCTTTCTATTTCCATTCAATTATCTCTGGATATCTCTCATATCTAGCTTATCTAAAATTCTATTCACTTCCTTAACCTCTTTCTTAGTTATCTGTTGGTTAGATTTATTTAATTCTGAGAGAGGAAGATTAAAGTCTCCTACTATTATAGTACTACTATTCATCTCCACATGTAATTCATTTAACTTTTCTTTTAAAATGTAGATTCTATAATATTTGTTGCATATAACTTCAGTATTGCTATTGCTTCATTATCTATACTACTTTTTTCAAAATGTAGATACTTTATCTTTTAATTTAATCTATTTTTGCCATAACTTTATCTGAGCATAATCGCTACCCCTGCCTTTTTTGCATCAGCTGAAGCATAATAAATTCTACTCCAACTCTCCATTTTAACTCTGTGTTCATCTCTTATTCTTAAATGTGTTTCTTGTAAACAATATATTGTTTGATTCTGATTTTTAATCCATTCTGCTGTTCTCTTCATTCATTTCCTTCATTTTCAACGAGGACCAATGATATCACAAGATGATGTCTTGATTCACTCTTGAATTGGATTTAAGTGAGGCAGAGTTGCACAAATGCTAGCCTCACTCTCTCTTCCAAAGTCATTGAAGTCCAGTGGCAGGAGAAAAGTCTAAGAATGTAATGAACGACTTTGGCATTTTCAATGTCTGACCAAGCTCTAAGCACTCCACTGCACCAGCTTCAGCTACCTTCGTGGCTGTTGAAACAAATTGTTCTCATTTGCCCATTCTGCTGGGGAAATTCTTCACATGCTTGGGGTAGACACCCCCTAACTCACCAACAGGGTTGAGGCATATCAGTCGCCCTCAACCTGCATTAGCCTTTCTGCTAAAATGGTTTTACTGGGATGAGGAAGCTTCTTGGAGCCACAGGTGACAGTTGAGTGCCAGGTGGACACCAAAGGTGGATGAGAAGACCTGAAAATGGCTCAGCAAGCCCTCACATCAAAAGTGCTAATCGTCCTTGAATAACCCATAGGTAGCCAGTATAGAGAAGCAAAAAAATACAGCAACCTAGAATCTGATAAACCCCAAATCCAGCTATTGGGATAAGAATTCACTTTGAACAAAACAGTATTTGGTAAACTGGAGAGCAATCTTGTAGAAACTGGGTGTAGATAAAACCTCACAGTATATACCAGGATAAGCACCACATAGGTATGTGACTTAGACAAAAAGGGTAAAATCATAAACAAATTAGAAAAATAATGAAGAAAATAACTTTCAGGTCTATAAAGGGGGCACAAGTTCAAACAAAGGATGGAGATATGAAAGATAAAGTGGGAAATTTTGATTACATAAAAATAAATGCTTTTGAATGAACAAACCAATACCATTAAAATCAGAAAGGAAGCAGGTAATTTTTTCTGATAAAAGATTCCTTTCCAAGAAAACTGATTCAAATACTTACAAAAGCATTCTTCTAATTGATAAAATTTTTTTTAAAAAAAGCATATGAAAGGGAAAATCCAAGCGATCAAAAACTATATGGAAAAAAGTTCTAAATCATTAATAATTAGAGAAATGCAAATTAAAGCATCTTTGAGGTCCATACCTCTAAAGACCATTAACTACTACTCAAAGGTATTATTCCATTCATCTTAGAGCTGAGCTGCCCTGATCATAGAGGTCAAACTCACCTAACCCAACCATATCTAACTAGTCTCACTTCCTACTTTAGTTGTCTACTCTTGACTTCTTGCCATTTCCCCTGCCTCCTCTATCCTGAAAGTCACCCCCTCCCTTTTACACATATACTTTTGTTCTGAGAACAGTAACCAAATTAATACTACCATTGCTTTCAGAAAAGGGCATGGCAATAGACTTCATTATAGCTCTCACTATAATGACTCCTCAGAGCAAAACTATCTTCCTTGACCACCACTATGTACTTCCTCTTCCTACTAAAATAAAAGCTACTTGAGGGTACTCTCACTTCTGTGTTTGTAGTCCCAATGCTTAAAACAGTGCCTCACACATAGTAGACCCTTAATAAATGTTTTAAAATTAATTCTTGCTCCCATTTTAGCTAAAAGAATCAAGTTGGAACATGGAAATTTGAAAAAAACATATTTTAGAAGAAAACTTGACAGTAACAAATCCACATAGCTCTCTCCAATGTGTTTTTGATAGCTGCAATAGGGAGAATGATCTAGCTGAAGAAATAAAAATTCACATGAGGAACATGGAAATAGAGGCTTCATTTTGTGTTACACTCCTGATGAGAATTAGAATGCTCTAAATATGCATAACTGATGAATAATTGATGAGAAGTGATGAAATAGTACCACTATGAAGACACAAAACACCCACTTAGGTTTGCAATAATCCTATAAGGGTCCAATTTGTGTTACATTGCTCTAAATATCTGGCATGCTTGATGTTTATATAAAGGAACCAAATAGGAGTCAAAGTATTGTTGTTCAGTCATGTCCAACTCTTCCTGACCCCATTTGGAGTTTTCTTGGCAAAGATACTGGAGTGGTTTGCCATTGCCTTCACTAGCTCATTTTATAGATGAAGAAACTCAGGCATGTAGAGTGAAGTGACTTGTCAGTATGTGTCTGAGGCTTGATTTGAGCTCATAAAGATGTCTTCTGATTCCAAGCCCAGCAATCTGTCCACTGTGCCACCTAGCTGCCCTTGAGTTAAAAGTAGGAACTTAGAAATCTAAGTGTAACACTGACTACTGTGACTTCCCATTGTCTATAGGTCAGGTATGTCACATTTTCACCCCTCCTCCCAAAGTTCTTCAGTACCTTTAAGGGGATTTGGGAGCAACTGGCTCTCTGTCCGTGTAGGCCTGACACTTTGGTGTGCTAGGCATGTTACATGAGACAATCGTGTTTTCCAAAATTTCTAATGATTTCTCAATTGCCATAACCAATGACTTTTTTTCTCAATCTTCATCCTTATCAAGTCCTTATAACTTGAATTATTGCAGTAACTTCCTAATTGGTCTTTCTGACTTAAATCTCTTCCTTCCATCCAGCCATATTCTCACAGCACAAGCTTGACTCTGTTACTCAACTAGGTCCAGGGGTTCCCTAGCATAAAATGCAAACTCCTTTGGAATTAAAAACCTTTCATAGCCTGGGTCTAATCTAGCTTCCCAACCTTGTTATATATGACTCTTCTTAATGAAATCTACCATCTAGCTTGATGGACTTTTTTGCTGTTTTTTTCACATATGACATTCTATCTTCCATATGGTTCCAGAGAAGAAAGTGAGGCTGGGGACTTTGCACAGCCCTCCCTCTCTTAAATCCAATTCACTTGCAAATCATGGCATTGTAGGCCATCTCCACTCATTCTGATCTATGTCTGACCACTGGACCCAGACAGCTCCAGAGGAGAAAGTGAGGCTGGTGACTTTGCACAGCCCTCCCTCTCTTAAATCCAATTCACTTGCAAGTCTTGGCTTCACCTCCTGATATCATGGCCCTCTTTGAGAATGAAGGACAAACAACAATCGGTGCTATCCCCATGCCTGAAGGCATTCCATTCCCACCTTTGCCTCTGGCTCCTTAATTTCCTTCAAAGTTAGCTCAAAAATCACTTCCTACATGAGGGAAATGTCTTCTGATCTTTCCAGCTGCTAATGTTCCCTCAGCTTCTTGGTATTTATTTTGTCTATACTATGTTAAGCACTGGAAATACAAATACAAGTGAAAAGAAACAGTCCAGCTCTTCAGGAGCTTGGAAAGACCAGGACAAAGGAAAGGCAAAAGGAGGAAGTGAGGGAGAATGAGAGAGACTCTAGAGGAGTGTAGCCTCATGGGAAATGACATTGGCCTGGACAACCCCTTTAAATCGAGATTCTGGGAAGATCTTCCAATCAGAGGGGAAGAGGATCCTTCTGAGGTGTGGGTTTCAGGGCTGAGATGACATTCCAGAACGAGGAGGGGATGGACACCTCCTTCACCTGCTCTCAAAGTCCTCCTCAAACCATAAGCTCAGCTGGAAGGAGAGAGTGAATTTCTCCCTTGGGAGCATTTTGTGAGTACCAGTATTTCCAGCTTAGCAGCAAACACCTGTGCATGTTCTGCAGTCCAGAGCCAGCCCTTCCTTTCCATGTTCTAAAGAACTTCCAGAAACAAGCTTGCTTTGCAAACATCCTCATGGGTTATTCGCCTGTGCTCCCAGGATACGACTCTCATCTGCCAGACCCTCAGTAAACTCAAGCTCACACGCCAAATGAGTGATAAGACTGAAATTGGAACACAAATATCCTGCCGACCCTTCCAGTCCCTTATTTTCCACGATCCCACACTGCCTAGATGGTGCTGACTACGGTCAACGAAGGAAGGGCGAAGGTTGCTGTTTCCATGGGGCATTTCTTTTCTGATCAGTGGATGGCAGGCAGTTTGAAAGCCTCTAAAATTCCTAGCAATCAGTAAACTATCCCCGCCTTGAGGGGGCGGAGCTGGGGGTGCTAAACGTTCTCAATCTACAACTCTACAACAGTCCCCAGGGTGGCAACGACTTGTGGGACAGGGGAAGGATGCACTTCTGCTGGGGCGACAACTCCTTCGGGCAGCTGGGCATCAAGGCAGGGCGGAGGGAAAAGGCTGGGCCAGTGCGATGCCAGGCGGGAGCCAGCCTAGGCAGCAAGCGCTTACTGCAGGCTGCTTGCGGAGAGCGCCACTCGCTGCTGCTGCTGCCCGACGGCACCGTCTGGTCTTGCGGGAGCAACGACTGTGGACAGCTGGGCAGGAAGAAGATTCCGAACTGTGACCGGCCAGGTAAGAAGGGCCAGGAGCTGGAGCTGGCAAAAGCTTTGGGGTGGCAGGACCCGGGATGAGGCAAAGTTTTGGAGCCTTAGAGGAATCTAGGGCGACAGAAAATTTTGTTAGAAGGTTAATGCTGTGTATGTATAACCTGTATCATATTGCTTGCGGTCTTGGGGAGGGAGAAAAAGGGAGGGGAGGAAGGGAGGGAGAAAAATTTGGAACTCAAAATCTTTCAAAAAATAAATGTTGAAAATTGAATTTTTAAAAAGATTTTAAAAAATGAAGTTAATGACGATGAGCTTAAAGAAATACATTCAGGAGAAAACTGAATCCTCTCGGTCGCAAAGAGAGATTGGAGGAGGTGGGCTCCTCAGCCATCTCCATCCTGGCCACAGCTGCATCCTCTTTGAGCTCCTTTTTGCCATCAATGAGTAAGGCTAGTTTCAGTTTCCCGAGGTCTTGTGAAATGAAACTGAGAAACAAAACGAGGGAACGAGTTTTCGTTTTCTTTTTTCTGATGTCATCATCTCTCTTCCTGAGACAGCTCTTCCTCTCTACAAAGAGGAACTCGATTATTGAAGGCGGAGTTCCAAAATTCAGCACATGCATCCAACAGTGTTCCCAGGCATGACTTTGTGGGGGTGGGGCAGGAATTTATTTGTGAAAATCGTAAAAAGATGTAAGTGAAAAGGCAAATGAGGGAAGAGATTGCAGGTATTGATACCACATATTTGAAATAGGCTTTTCTTTTTTGTTTTGTAAATTGATAATGACCCAGTCAAATTGGATGCTTAAATAAATTACACTTTTATACCATTTAAAATCCAGACATTGTTAATGTAGTGGGGGGAAAAGACTGCAAAGCATAATATAGGTGAACTTGCAAGGAAAACTTTGTTTTTGGGAGGAGAGTACAAAAGGAAATCTCTCTCACTCCAGAACCTCCTAAAGTTAGAGTCCCTGGCCATTCCCCTTTTTTCCAGTATGCACTCACCACTCTTGTCTTTCCACTAAAGTAGTCCTCTTGATTATGGGGTGGAGCTAACCCTAAATTTTAGAGGTTACATTAATAAAGCCCAAGCTTTAGCAGGTCCTGCCAAAATGGAAAAGCATCCAGTATTAGCTAACAACCTGATAGTTGGCAAACAGGTAATGATTTTTTGGCCCAGCGGCTCTGAGAAGCTGTTCTCTCAAAAGATGCATTGCCATATGCATTGGTCAAAGAAAGTACAATATCCTTGAAATTTGGAGTTATACACCACCAGTGCCAGCTCTCAAATACTGAGGTACAATATGAATATTTTATATAATATAGAAAATTAACATGACCCAAGGCATGCTTTCTTTGACATATTTTATTTTAATGACTTTGCTAGCAGCATGTTAGGATAATATGAGATGGTTTAATAGTGCCTCGACATTTTTTTAATGGTATTATTCTGAGAGGTACAGCATTTCAAATCCAATACCAAAATTCTCTTTTCGGTCCAGAAACTCTTGTTTTCTTTTTTTATAGACATACACACACACACACACACACACACACACACACACACACACAGAGGATTATATATGAGGATTATATATGAATTTGTGATCTCCATTTCCTTGCTTTTTGAAAAAGCATATAATAATTTCCCATGAAATTTTTAAAAGTGTCCTGCTTGGCTGGGCTTCCTTCTGGACTTCTCTCTGCTCCCTTGAGTGCATTTAAAAAATGATGCAGTGGTCATAAATGAAATGTACCTGTGTTTAAGTTGAATAAATTTGTGACTCCCTCCTCCCCGCTCCCTAAAGCACCAATTCAGGCACTGGAAACTCAAGCAGTTGTTTTGGTCAGCTGTGGAAAAGAGCACTCCTTGGCTGTTTGCAAAACAGGAAAGGTCTTCTCGTGGGGATCTGGTTCTGAAGGGCAGTTGGGCATCAAAGAATTTAAGAAGCTAAATTTTATGCCCAAGTAAGTATTCTGATGTGACTTTGAGTGTATTGTAAGCCTATGTCTCCATTTTCTGTGTATATCATTATAGATAATTTGTGAGGATAAATTAAATAATAGTCAATGTACAATTGTGCATAAATTATCTGGTTCATTAATTTTCTAAGGGAAATATTAACACTAGGAAGGAAAAGACCTCCTAGTTATTTATTCAAGGAATATCAATCTTAATTTTGAGTGGCAAGTGCAAAGTAAAGCATAGGACATCTGTAACAACACAAAACCACTACTTCCCCATTGGGACCTCAGGTACATGCCTTCTCCCTCTTAAGATGGCCCCCTAACTCTTGAATACATATATATGGACTGGGTTCAGTTCTGGGGAGCCACACTTCTAAATAGAAGGGTCAGCTCTTTTTTTTCTCACTCTCTGACTCTTTAGGCCCCTAAATCAAAGCTCAGGGGAAAGTCACTGAAAGTCTAGGTTTAATTTATACCCAGGGTCTCCCTAAAAAGGAATAGAAAGGTCCTCAATAGGGGCAGGTAGGTGGCACAGTGGATAGAGCACCAGCCCTGAAGTCAGAAGGACCTGAGTTCAAATACACCTCAGACCAAACACTTGACACTTACTAGCTGTGTGACCCTGGGCAAGTCACTTAACCCCAATTGCCTTTAAAAAAAAAAGGTACTCAATATACACTAAGGATCAGGTAAAGGAGAGCTATTTATTTCTTCCACATACAAAAAAACTCTTAAAACACAGAAGGCTCAAAAGCACATGACAACAAAGATAAACAATTTGTAACCACTATTATACCTTCCCAGGAAGTTGATCCCTAAAACATCAAAACATGAAACATTTTGTGAGACTCAGCACTTGGATAGGTGGCTCCCAAGTGCCTCTCCTGAAGCTTTTTGTCCTGAGATGCTAGAAAGATCCAATGTTCTGAACCTCAAAGATCAGTGGCAAGTGGTAGGAGTGGGGAATGGGGAAGATAACCTGGGAAAGCAGAGGCTACTTACAGTATACAGAGGAGGCTAGCCACGGTGGCATATGCCTTTAATCTCTGCTCCTTAGGAGACTGAGGTGAATGAGGCTTTGTCAGTAGGGAGCTGCAGCTGGCCAAACTGGTCAGGATCAAGTGTCTGCACTAAGTGCATTACCAATATGGCGATCCTTGAGAAGTTAGGTGTGGGGTGGGGTGCAAAGTATTAGACTGCCTCAGGAATGGCAAACTGGCCCAGGTTAGAAACAGGTTGTTATAACTCCTTGCTGATTCTTGGTGGGCATGGGCTGTAAGTGTCTATTACGTGTCCAGCTTGGGAAAGCTAACATATCCGTGTGTCAAAAAAAAAAACCCAAAAAACTTAAAAACTCTCAGAACAGAACCAATCCACACCCTCCCCAAACCTTGTTTTTTTTTCTTATTCAACTCCCACAATGCTCTAGAGAAAAATCAAAGACTACAGTATACCAAAAAGCAAAGGAGCCAGGCCTATAGCCAAGAACACCTTACAGGGACCTTCAGACATTTCTGATGAAAAATAAGAGTTGAGTAGGAACTTTGAAATACAAGCGCAAGAGAAACCTAAAAAGGTAAATTTATTTGAGCCATTGGAAAGGGGTTGTGTAATGATGTAGTGCTAACATTTTAATAGGGGAGAAAAGAAGTCTCTCTTCAGAACCTTACTATCTTTAAAGGCCATTGTTAGAGTTGAATAAGAAAAACTAAGGTTTGGGGAAGGTGTGGATTGGTTCTGTTCTGAAGGTTTGAAGAAGGAAAAGAGAAAAGAGGGTAAAAGGAAGATTAGATTAATGTAGAAAGGAGGAAGAAGGGGGTGAAACTTGTGATTTCTCATTAACTGAAGTGTTTGAGAAGATATATAAATATAGATGAAAGGATAGGTGGAATTGGCATCAGATTAACCTCATTTTTATCCAAAATGAACAAACATGCACAAAGAGTTGGGTGTAGAGCTCTATCAGACTCTACAGGGAAACAAGCAGGAATTAGGTGGGAGGGTAGGTTTAAGATGATACTGGGGACTGTGAGAAAAAATAAAATACTATTTAAAAGGTGTGTGTGGGAAGATGATATTGGGGAAGTTATAAACACAAGCAAAACAAACTTCCTGATCCTGAAGGGAGGTATTAAAAGATGTGGGAGATGAGGGCAGGGTTTTGGGGGAGGGAGTCGAGAAATAGAAATCCAAGATAGTACTTTAGATTGTATTTTAGAAAATTGGAGAATGGCCAAACAAATTGTGGTACATGAATGTAATGGAATGTTTTTGCACCATCATAAAAGATGAGACTATTTCAGAGAATCCTTGGGTTGAATAAACTGACAGTAAAGTAAGCAGAACCAGGAGAACAATTTATGCAAGGACAACAATATTGTAAAGAAAAGCACCTTTTAAAAACATAGGAACTCTGATGAATGCAGTAACCAACCTTGAGTCTAGAGGACTTATGATTAATCACATCAGCCATGACAGAAAAGTAATGGACTCCGCATACAGAAAAACACATTCATTTTTGGACATTGTTACTATGTGGATTCATTTTGCAGTGAGCTGCATTAATGAACTGTTTAAATATTTTTCCCATCATTTTTTATTAAAGGGAAATTCAGGATCTTTCCAGTGTCAAAATAATACAAGTTTCTTGTGGACATTATCATTCCATAGCATTGGCACAAGGTAAAAGCTTTGTTTTCATGGTAATCAATTTGTAATAAACACTTGCTTTTTAAAAAAATTTGCTTGATAATTGACACATTTTACTATGTTGATATTTATTTTTAGTGGATTAAGAAGGTTGTGACTAACTTTAAAAGGTCTATTCCATTTTTACTTTTATTTAACTTATTAATTTTTATTTATTATTTTATTTTTAATGTATGAAATAAAATTAGCATTTCTATGACATAGTGGAATTAAAAAAAGATGATTGCACATGAAACTTATGTACGACTTGTTATTTCTTTTAAGTGCATAATAAAATTATCGTGTAAACTTTTTTTTTCCTTCTCCACCTCCTCCCCCGGCCCCAGGCCACCACTAAACACAAATGTATTTTTTTTCCTAGTATGTATAGTTAAATATTCATTTTCCCCCTTTCCTATAGTAACATAACTTCATCACAGTTTCGTTTTCTAAAAGAAATCTGCTAATGGTTGACCCTTAACCAGTATGTCTCCCCTGCAAATTGGTTATATCTGCTAGTCCTGTGAGATGTCTTTTAGCCTTGGTTCAGGAGTTGGTCTGAATGTAAACACACTGGGGAAAAGTAGCCGCTTTGTAGGTCATTGAATGGACACTTTTAATGCATCAGCCAATGAGCATTTATTAAGCACCTACTGTATACCAAGAGCTGTGCTAGTCATTAGAGATAACAAAAACAAAAATGAAATAGTTACCTCAAGGAGCTTATATTCAATAGAGGGAGAATATTCTATAGGGAGGACAATACAGAGAACATGGAAATTGCAGGGGGGTAGTGTTATCTAGATTCCAGAATGCTTCAGAAGGGAAAATATACTTGCATTTGCTTGTGTTTTTTGAGTTTTTGTAGAACCCTACTTGTTTTTTTTATTGTTTCTACAATAAGACTCAAAGTGATCAATTCTGGCTCTTCTGTCCCTCTTTGGCTCTTCATAGGGAGACCTCTTCAGGGTCAGGAAGTGGTTTCTGATTCCCCATGCTGGGCTATCATGAGCTACTTCCTAATAATCTGAACTGATCTAGAGTGATGGTACAGTATGACTACACCATGAGCCCCTCAAAGGAGGATTGCCGCATTTTGCATGCAATAAGTATAACTGTTCAAATCAATAATGGACTATAAGCTAAAGGTTCTATCAAGATATGTGAGACATAACTAACCTTTTTGCATCTGGAAAATATTAGTAGTTCTCTAAGATATTATAAAGTGTTATAAATCAAATTTATGACTTATGAGTCATAAATTGTAGGAGTAGACTTATGAGTCTAATTTTTGGCATCCCAATGGAAAGTATCCATCCCAGTGGAAAGATTTTGGAATCAGGAAGACCTGGAATCAAGTCCTTCCTGTGAGATACACACACACACACACACACACACACACACACACACACACACACGCACAGAGAAAGTGTTATGGACTTTAAAGAGCGTCTAGTCCAATACTTATGAAGAAAGTCAAGTTGAGAGAGCTTAAGTGAGCCAAGGTTGCATGGGTAGTAAGTGGCAGAGGTAGGATTTGAACCTAGGTCCTTGAATTACAGATCCAATGTACCTTGATACTTTTAACCATTTCATGCCACTTAGCCTCTTAATGCTCCAGGCTCTGAGAACTCTAGGACCGAATAAGTTACAAATGAGTTGCCAATCTGCATCAAGTTGAGGAGTTTTCTCTACTGTAAGTTCCCTATACTAATGAAATCCCATGTCAAAAAAAGATTCATCACATCATTAAAAGGAAAAAAAATCCATCTCCTTCTCAGCTTGAGGGGAAAGATGATAGATATTTATGTCTTCTTGTTCTTTCACTCTACCTCCATTTAAGTTAATCCCCCAAGTTGATTCTGCCATGTTCTTAAAAGTATATAGCATCGTGAGATGCTTCGTAGTAAACTTTAGTTTTGCAATATAGCTGAAACCCCAAATTTTGAAATTTTATTTCTGTATGTGTGTGTGTTTGCAGATGGCAAAGTATTTTCTTGGGGAAAGAACAACCATGGTCAACTAGGCCTGAAGGAAAATTTCCCCTTTCAATCCAGGCCTCAATGGGTGAAATCGCTTCACGGTATTCCTCTGGCTCAGGTTGCAGCAGGAGGGGATCACAGCTTTGCCCTTTCTCTCTCTGGTACTCCATATGGCTGGGGACGGAACAATGTAGGCCAACTGGCCCTCAGTGGCAAGAATGCATCAGGTAATAAAATATTTTTGTCTTTCCAATAAGACATTGTCTTCTCAAGGTGAGAGGTCAGGCTTGTAAAGGATTCATCAATAGAAAGGCCAGTTATGGAAGAAACTTGGTGTGGGGAGTCTCTTTCAGGAGGTGAATGGTGGGTTCTTTCCATTTCTGTTCTCTGATTCTAAGATGTTGGGGTAGTTTTCCTTTGTAATTGCCTGAAATGTTATTTCTAGGCTCTTTTTTTTTATTATGCCTTTCATGTAGTCCAGTAATTCTTACATTATCTCTCTCAATCTATTTTCCAAGTCATTTTTCCTTGTCTTTTTTCATTCTTTTGACTTTGTTCTATTGCTTCTTGATATTTTGTAGAGTTAAGTTTCCACTTGCCCAATTCTAATTTTTAAGGAATTATTTTCTTCAGAGAGTTTTTGTGCCTTTTTTTCCATTTGGCCAATTTTGTTTTTCAAGGAGTTCCTTTCTTCAGTGAATTCCTGTGCTCTTTTACCTTTAGGCCAATTTTCTTTTTCAGGGTGTTATTTTCTTCAGTATTTTTGTGTGTGCCTTGTTTACCAAGCTATTAATTCTCTTTTCATAATTTTCTTGCATAGTTCTTATTTCTTTCCCCAATTTTTTTTATTCCCTTTTATCTCTTTCTTTAACTCTTTCAGGAATTCTTTTTAGGCTTTTGTCCAATTATCCTTTTTCTTTAAGGCTTTGATTGTATATGTTTTCACATTATTGTCTTCTTTTGAGTTTATGTTTTAGTCTTCTCTGGCATCATAGATTTGTATGGTCAATTTTTTTTTTTGCTCATTTCCCAGCCTATTTCTTGACTTTGAACTTTATGTTGAAGTTGGGCTCTACTCACTTGGGGATGGGGGTGAGGAGGAACCTCCCAAGCTTCAGGATTTTTCCTGTTACTGTTTTTAGAGCTGGTTTTGGGGATCTGCAAGGTTTTTTAATGTTTCCAAGGTGTTTTTTGGGAAAAAGGTGTTACTTGGAATCTGAGAAGAGGTGTGTTCACTGTTCTCTTGGTCTGCACTCTGCTGTTTACCTAGGAATGGTCCTTGTCCCCTGCAGTTGCAAGCACAAACATTCCTTTTGGCCTGGGAATTGCAACCAGAGCCCTTACTCCCTTGTGACTGACCACAGGTGCTCTTCTCCGCCCTGGAACTGCTACCCAGAACTGCATATGGGCAATAGAGTTGCCAGTCAATGCCAGCTGTACCCAGTGCCAGCAAAGGGTCCTCTGTAATCTCTTTCTGACCCCCTCTTACTCTCTCTGGGCTGACAGCTCCTGAAGCTGCTGCTGCAGCTGTTGCAGCCACTTCAAAGGCCCACCATTGGTATTACAATCATGTATGCTCTGGGCCAGCTCCCACCTCAGTGTCACAGACCTCTCCTACCAACCTCCTAAATTGTCTTTAGCTGGAAAAATGTCTCTCCTCAACTTTTTTTGGCTCTGCTACTGTGGAATTTGAAGCATTGTTTTCAAGTTATTTGGAGGGGATTATTGGCTGGGTTGCTGCCTCTAATCTGCCATCTTGGTTCCACTTCCTTTTGAATGTTGATGATTTATGAATTTCACAACTTCACTGGAGTCATTAATTGTTTTGATTAATTTTTTTAGTTGATAGGAGGATGAGACATCTCTCCCTAAAATGAATTTGTGATATACTTTCCCATCAAAGGGAATCAAAGGGAAAATAGGCTCAAGATTAGAGAACGTATGACAAAGGAAGATAACTCATGGCTCCTAGAAATCCTCTTGCTGGTACAGTTTTTCTGTTTGGCTCCTTGTAGCTCCCTGAATCTGCCTTTCTTCATCTCATCCAGTCTCTCCTCGGTTCTCAATGAAGACACTCCTGTCAGCTGATAGGTGCCAATGCAAAGATTAGAAATCCACAATACTCTTCACAGCTCATAAAATTCTCTTCCCACCTGGGGGAGATGGAGAGGAAGAGACTCATTCACTGTGGCCAAGGCACTGTCCTTGGCCCCAAGCAATTCCTTCTCAGAGAATCTTGGCTAGAAGCTTCTACCACTAAGCTTCTACATGTTAAAATCCCTAATTTTAATTTGTGTGTTAGTTTTATAAAAGTTCCACAAGACATTATCACTTCCTTCAACTAATCTGAGTATATTTCCTATGTAATGTCATTTTAGTTCATCTGGTGACTTTCAATACCATCTAAATTGATGAAATACTTGCTTTTTGTATTAAGCCTAAGGCCTATGATTGATTATGCCTACTGAACAATTGATATATGTTTGTGTCACTTGCTTTAAGTGGGATGGAAGTAATTGTCAAATCTGACCCTCATGAGCCCTTATACAATTCTCTAAGGAATCTTTTTGTAAACTTTGAGAAACATAGTTTGGAAGCTAATTCTTGGTTGCTTTTAAGTCAATAACAACTGAGTTTTGGATGGGTGTGAAGCCTAACTGTATCTAAGGCTTCAGGTGTCCTCATCAGAGATGCTAATATACTAAATTTTTACTTTCCTATGTCACCTCTTTACTCATACTTGAATCTTATTAACAGAGATGAAATCTGAGGCTTTTTTAAATGTATAGTAGAAATTCTTTTTTTTCCTTCAACAGAGCAAATCTACAGACCTTGTTCCATTGGTGAACTGAAGAGTCTTCACGTGACATACATCAGTTGTGGGGATGAACATACAGCTGTCCTCACCCAGGTAATAACAAACTTAAGCTTCTTAGAAATATAACAAAGTGTGTGTGTGTGTGTGTGTGTGTGTGTGTGTGTGTGTGTGTGTGTACTGAATGTTACTCCATTTAAAAGGGAAGGAGAATAAATATCTGGGGAATATTGGATTTGTGGTTTGGAAGTCAAAAGATAAGTGTTCTATTCTCTGTTGAGCCACCAGGAGAATAACCTGTGTGACCAGAGACAAGTCACAACCTTTCTGGGCCTTAATCTCCTCAACTATAACAAGGAAGTTAGATTAGATGATTATCTATAAGATTCCTTCCAGCTCTAAAACTCAGTGATCTTATGTTAAAGTTAAAGTGGAGGGCTTCAATATACTCCTTTTAGACCTAGACAAATCTAACAAAAGATAAACAACAAAGAAATTAAAGACTTAATCAGTTGAAAGAACTTAGAACTTTGGAAAATTAGAGGTGATAGACTTCTGTTGATTACTAAATGGGAGTAGAAAAGAGTTTATATATTTTTAAGCTGATTATTTTACCTTTACAAAAATTGACCATGTGTTAAAGAATAAAGACCTCACCCCAAAATGTGGAAAAGTAGAAATTTTAAATACATTATTTACTGAAAACAATGCAATAAAACTATGTTTAATAAAGGTTCATTTAAAAAAGAATTTAAAATTATTTATTTAGTGACTAACAATTATGAAAAACTGGTGAATCAAAGTACAAAATATAGAAACAGTAGAAAATTTCATCAAGGAAAATTATAATAATAAGGTAACAACATGGAATTCAGCTAAAGTAGTCCTTAGAGAAAAATGTATATCTTCAAATTCTTTTGCTCACAAAAGAGAAAGAAAAAATCAATGAATTGGGCACACAATTAAAAAAAACAAAACCAAAAACAAATCAACCCTCCCAACAAAGCAACGAAGTAGAAATTCTAAAAAACCAAAGAAGAGATTAATAAAATTAAAAGAAAAAGAATCCAATGAATTAATAAATAAACCTATAAGCTGGGGGAAACTAATGAAATAGATAACTAATGTGATTGTTTTTCAAAGAGAGGTGAAATAAATTATTCATATCAAAAAAGAATTCACTACAATGGAAATAAAAATAAAGGCAATAATAGGAACTACTTTGCCCAATTATGTGTTAACAACAATAATAACTTAAAGGAAATGGATAAATTCTTACAAAAATATAAAATACCCAGATTAACAAAAGAAGAAATGATCATTTAAATAACACAGAACCTTAAAGTACTACAGAAATGCTAACTATTATTATAATTGCAAAAATGAATTTATCAAACCATAAATGAACTCACAAAGAAAAAATTCAAGGAAATTTCAATATTGTAGAAACAGTTTACAAAACAGAAAAAGAAAAGATCTTTACGATCTCTTTCTGTGATACAAATTGCTGAGCCGGGTAGAGATGAAGCAGAGAGAGAAAACTGTGTACTGGTATGTTTGATAGATATTTAGACAAAAATTTTAAATAAAATATTAGCAAATAGGCTACAGCAACATATTAGTAAGATTATACACACTATTGCCATGTGAAATTTATACCAGGAATAGAAGACAAAAAAACCTAATAAACTATATTCATAGCACAAGTAAAAACTGCTTGATTACATCAATAGATGTTGAAAAAGAGCTTTGACAAAAACCCCATACATATTACTATTTTTTATTCTGTATTTTCCTTTTAGTATTTCTAATCATAGGAAGAAATGGACTTTTCCCTATCAATGTAAATAACATCCTGCTAAAGCAAAAGCTGACATTATATGTAATTGTTAACAGTGAGCAAAGTGAGCAAAATTTTCCAGTGAGCAAAGATGATCATTATCACCTTATGACTTAGCATAGCACTCAGAATGTTAGCTATAGCAATAAGACAAGAAAGAGAAATCAAAGGAATAAACTTAGGCAAAGAGGAGACACAAATATGACTTTTTGCAGATGATATAACGATTTACATAGAAAACTCTAAAGTCTCAACAAGAAAATTAATTTGAATAATTAATGACTTCAGCAAAGTTGGAAAATACAAAACAAACTGACACAAATCATTAAGTACTCCTATATATTTCCAACAAAATCCAGCAGAAGAAACAAAAAGAGAAAGCTACTTCAAAATAGGTGCAAAATGTTTAAAATACTTAAAAGTATATCTTCCAAGAGTCACATAGGTATTTTATGAATGTAATTATAGGAGAAATAAAGACAGATCTAAATAACTGGAGAAGTAGCAGTTACTTATGAATAGGCTGAGCCCGTAGAATAAAAAAAAATACTAACTAAATTCATGCACTTATTTAGTGTTATTCCAATAAGACCACCAAAAGATTACATTATAGAGCTAGAAAAAAAAATAATCACAGAATTCTTCTGGAGAAATAAAAGGTCAAGAATCTCAAGAAAACTAATGAACAGAAAAAGGTAGGAAGGAAGAGAGCTTAGCAGTACCACATCGCAAGTTATACTACAAATAGGCAATCATCAAACTGTTTTTGGTACTTGCTAAAAAATAGAGATGTCCACCAATGCAACCCAGCATATGTAAACAAAGGAAGTACCTTCCTGTTCAATAAACCCAAAGACCCCAATACTAGGCTAAGGACTCGTGATTTGGCAAAAGCTTCCGGGAAAACCGGAAAGTAGGTTGGCAGAAATTAGCACACCACATACCACATGCTGTATATTATACCATATACTAAGATAAATTCAAAATGATTTAGAAGAGAAAGGCAATTACCGTTCAAATCAGTGGATAGAGGAAAGGTCATGTCCACAAAAGGGGTAGAGAGAATCACCAAAAATAAAATGAACAATTTTAATTATATAAAATTTAAAAGATTTTGCACAAACAAAACCAATGCAGTTAATATTAGAAGGGAAACAGTGAACTGGGAGGGGAGTCTTTGCAGCAAATGTCTCAGATAAAGTTCCTATTTCCAAGATATGTAAGTAACTGAATCAAATTTAAAAGAACAATCAACTTTCCTCAAAAGATAAATTCCCAAATGATATGAACAGGTAATTCTCAAAGAAAGAATTCCAAGTTATCAGTAGTCATATAAAAAACTCAAACCAGTAATAATTGGGAAAATGCAAATTAAAGTAACTCTGAGCTTCTATTTCATAGCCCACCAGATTGGCAACAGCGACAAATGTTGGAGAGGCTGGGAGAAAACAGGCATTCTAATGCACTGTTGGTGGAATTGTGAATGGGTCCATGTATTCTGGAAAGTGATTTGGAACTATGGCCCCCAAATCATTAAACTGTGCATATTCTCTGATCTGTGATACCACTAGTAGGCCTATAGAGATCAACCTTCTGGTTCCTCTGAAGCCAAAGAGATCAAAGAAAGAGGGAAAGGATCTATATGTACAAAAAATATTTATAACAGCCATTTCTGTGGTAGCTTCTAAAGAACTAATTAAGGAGGTGCATGTCTATTGAGAAATAGCTTAAATTATCATACAGGAATGAAATGGAATTTAATTGCTACATGAGAAATGATAAAATTAACAATTTTAAAGGAAACATAGGAAGACCTCTATGAACTGATACAAAGTGAAATTAGCAGAAGTAGGAGAATAATTATTATATAATGGCCACATTATAAAGAAACATTTGAAAGATTTTTGAACACCAATGTAATAATAAACTAAGATCCCAGAGGGACAAAAATGAAGTTTACTGACCCCCTCCTGCCATAGACATGATGGACACAATATGAAGACGTATGTTTTTGGACATTGTTTATATGGAAATTTGTTTTGCTTTTCTATACATAATTGCTTGGAGTGGTTTTTTAAAAAAAATTTTGTCCAATGTTGGGGGAGGAGGGAGCATAAGGAAGAGAAAATAAATGCTTGTTTATTTTTTTCTTAATCAATTTGAGAGAAAAGATCCTGTGATTCTGAATAATCTTTCAAAAGTGCATGCTATTGTTATTCTCATTCCCTTTTACCAATGAAGAAACTGAGACCCGGAGGGTCTAGGTGACTTGTCCAATTTTGCACAGCCAGCAAGTGATGGAGGTAAAATTTGAACTCAGGTTTCTCTAGACTCCAAGTCTAACGCTGCTTGGACTGGTAGAGGTATCAGTCCATTATTGCATTTGATATGAGGCCCTAACTTCAAGTGGAGCAACGGCATCACAGAATCTCAAGGTTTGAAAGGACTTTGGAGCAGGAGTCAGCACACTGTGACCTATACTACCTATTTTTGTTGGGCCCATGAGCTAAGAAATGTTTTTACATTTTTGTGGGCCACAGTTTGGCAATCCCCACCTTAGAGGTCCGACTAATATCTCCGCAGGAATCCTCCATATTACATTTTGGAAAATGGCCGTCTAACTTCCCCGTCCTGGTTTATTCAGATTCCATCCACCATCAAATAGCATTCCCATGCTTTTGAGACTCCGTCCTGAGCCCGCTTTTCTTTCTTCTTCCCCTTTCCCCTTAATCTGCCTACCTAGTGTAATCATTTGAAAGTCGCTTGTAGAATTTCAAATATTTATTTTTTAAAAACCCTTTATATTATGATTTGATTTCAAAAGCTTCTCTTAAAATTTACCAAGCTGATAGGCACATGCAGAGCAAGAGGCAAGAAATATTCCCCTTCAGCGACAAGTATCCTTTTTTAACCAGTGAAGTCTTCTAAAGGGAAATTATTTTTTAGGAAAACAAGCAAATGAAACATGGAGAAATTTTGGTGCCTACTCTTGAGCTAGCTATCTAGGCATTCACTAGGATTTTGCATGTTCAGTACACAAAATCTACTATTACTGGGAACTATGCTCTTTAATTTTTCATTTCCTATTACTAAAAAATTACTATTATTACTATTACAATCAAGAGCTGATCTGCTCCTTACAGGATGGCAAAGTGTTCACATTTGGAAGCAATAACTGTGGACAGCTGGGACGTAGACAGGTTTCTAAGAAGAGGGGTCCTCAGACTGTGGATTCAACTCATTTGTTTTCTCAAATAGCCTGCGGAAGGTAACAGTCTATATTCCTTTAACATGAGCAAAGGTTAAAAGTTTCAAACATGATACTTTGTTATCCAGACTAAACTCTTCTATCGTCAGCATCGATGCATTTTAATGTTTTTGTGCTTGAGATATGTGACTCATTACAGGAAATTTTAATTTTCAACAACTTGAGGTTTTCAAATGCAATTTGTTTGGCCGAATGTTCAGATTAGTGCAAATTGATCTTAATTAGTCAACTGATGGTGTAGTTCAAGCCATTTTGCTTTCTCTTAACGTAAGCATTCAACCTTAACTCTTCCTTACCTCCCAAACCTGGCAGGTGCCAAGTCTCGGTGACATGTCCACATTTCTCCTAGTCCTCCTCTTCTTTCCACTTATGCAGCCACTTTTCTAGTGCAAGCCCTGATCAAGGCTGTCTGAACTATTATAATAAGTCCTTAATTGGGCTCCTGGTTTCTTTTCTCTCCCCTTTCTAGTTCATTATCCAGCTGCCATTGCCAGTTTTCTTGATCTATGTCTTGCCACTAGACTGATGACTGAAGGAGAGAGTGAGGCTGATGACTTTGCACAGCCCTGCCTCACTTAAATCCAATCCACTTACAAGTCAAGACAGCACTCTGCTGACATCATTGGTCCTCTGGACCAAACAACATTATCCAAACAGTTGTCAGAATAATCTGCCCAAGTCAAAGCTCAGATAAAAAATTTTCAGTGATTCCCTATTACCTACAGGATAAAATGCAAACTCTTCCAAGCTAATATTTAAAGTCCTTCAAAATCTGGCTCTCATCTGCCTTTCCAGACTTCCTTCATAGTCACACGATCTATGTCTTAACCAAACTGTCCTTCAACTAGACACTCCCACTTTGCACAAGCATAACTCGAATTCCTCTCACCAATCTCCACTACTTAGAACAACCAACTGCTTCTGCCTTTGGATGGCCTCTCCTGATGCCCTCAAGTTGTGCTTTTTCCCGTCTCCAATTATCTCATGTTTATTTGTCTGCTCAGGGCATTTGGCTAACTCTCTAGGATAATAAGTCTCAGAGAAAGTGCAACCTGCATTGGCAGAGAGAGTTTCAGCCCCTGGTAGTTTTCAAAACCAATGAAATCATCTGTAAATCCCTCTCTAAATAATTTGCCCCAGGAGAATATAAACTACTTAAAAGGAGGGACTAGTTTGTTTTTATCTTTTTATCTTAAGCACCTCAATCATAATAGATACCTGACAAAAAATTTTTTTTGTCTTTTAAATTTAATTAACGCGTTTTTGAAAATTTACTCTGGGAATAAAAAAGAAGTCAAATGTGTGCTTGTGTGCTCGGAAGGCTCACAGTCCAGCTGGGCTGTGACAGGAGGAAACAGAACACAACTCAGAGCTCCTTTACAGAGGCTGCTGTAGCCGGGCCAAGTCTAGGCTGGGACTTGACTCATTGTTTCTACATTTCGTTTTATCATTCTGAATTGTAGAGTAATTCAGAGACGAGTCTGTGCATTTGCTCAGTTAATAAAATGTCAACATATCTCTTAATCCACTACGATAAGAGTCCCCACGAATTCATCAAGTGTTATTTATTTCATAATTGGAGAAACTTCCCTTCCTAGTAGTCGTTACCCATATCTCTGTATCACCCTCAATCTCCTAGGGTCAAATAAACATTATAGTTACTGAATATACAATTTATTAATACTGAAATCAATAATAAAGATAGATAATTATTTACAATATTTTAGCTGTGAGGATAATCATCACCAGAGTTATCTCAGACCCTCACTGTAGCAGTAAATGACTTCCCTTCTGAGAACAAAGTTCCCACACCATCCAGTTCATGAAGTTAAAAGTTCATTACAATAATTTGTAAGAACTCTCTTTTTTTTGTATTCGCAAGATAAAGGTTAAGCTAGTTCCATCAACAAAGGTAATTGCTCTATCCTCTTTCTTTCTGTCTTCTCCCAGCTTCTCTCCAGCAATATCAGGAAAAGAATCTTGATCTTCTCTTCAGGAATCATTCCATAAATAGTCTCTCCAGATTGCCAGTTAAAATTGTCTCCGAAAGATACAGTAATAGTATCTGTAGTCTCTTTGGGAGAGCCTAATGAAACAGGTGTTAGACTAGTGTAATTGAAACTATAAATAATTGCTAGGTAAAAACAAAATAAAAATTTAGCAAGACCTAATTTTAAGGGAAAATTGATTCATTATCCAACCAGTTCAATGAAAGTATTTAAAATCATTTGTTTTAAGTGGGCCATCTTTAATGTGCCGCACAACACGTAGTAAAATGCCCTGCACATATGAGAGCTAATGTAAAAATATTTTGGACTTGATCTCATGGGAACTACAGACAGCAAAAACCTGAAAGCTCAGAGATCATCCATCTTTGAAATTAATAATAATAACAAGATTGAGGACATGTTATTTTTCATCTTCGTATTTCTTGTGCCTAGCACAGTCCAGTGTATACTAAGACTTAGGAATCGTTTTATCGGATTGAGTTGAATTCACATCTTCAATATATAATGTTTGATAATATTCATACATGTTACCGCTCTAAGAGTGGAATTTTGATATGGCACTGGGTGCATTATATCAATTATACCTGTTACTGTATTGCTAAGAAACTTCACCTTTCTTTAGAATAAAAAACAGGGAATCTAATTTAATTTATAATGTGTTATTTCTCCAACAGTCACCACACCCTTGCATATGCCTATACCACTGGCCAGGTGTTATCCTTTGGTTGTGGGTCTCAAAGTCACCTGAACAGCCTTTTGCAACCAGGCAGCCTGGAACAGAGCTTCAATATTAGCAACCTGATTTCTTCAAGTGGTAAGAAGAATTAGAGCTTTTCTATTCTTTGAGAAAGAGGGAAGCTATCAGCTTCTTTCTCTCTCATCTTGCAAAATTATTTTTGTTTTATAACTTTAAATTCTGAATTTTGTAAACTCTTTCTTGTGCAATGATTCCTGTAGTCAACAAATCTGTAGTCTTAAATTGTTTAAAAGTTTATGTAGGTAATTTTTGCTTTTACATTACCTTCATTTCCAAATATATCCCTCTTCCTTCACCATCTGATTAGCTATCCTTTCAACAAATAACAAAAAAGAGAGAGAAAACAAAAGCAGTTCTAACATATCAGCTCAGCCTGACAGTATATTCATTGTTCCACACCCAGATACCCTCACCTCTACAATGAAAGGAAGGAGGTACTTTCTCGAATCTTCTCTTTGGGCCAAGTTTGATCATTATGATTATACAGCTTGTGTTTTTTTTATTCCTTCCATTTACATTGATATAGTCATGAGTATATTGTTTTCTTGGTTCTGCTTACTTTGATTTACATATATCTTCCTATGCTTTCTTTTTTTTTAAATTTAGGGTTTTTTTTATTATATTCTAAACTATCTCCCTCCTTCCCCCCTACACTAGAGAAGGCATATGCTTTCTTCAAACTCTTTTTATGGGGCAGTAAATTCCATTTCATTCATCTTCCACAATTTGTTCAGCCCACTCCCAAACAATGATATCAGCTTTGTTTCCAATTCTTTGCTACTACAAAAAGTACACATTTTGTTGTATGTAGGACTTTGTGTCTTTGACCTTCTTGGGGAATATGCTTAATGGTGACATCTCTGAGACAAAGAGCATGAACATGTTAGTCACTTTCTTAGTATAATTTCAGATTGCTTTGCAGATTAGTTAGACCAGTCCACGACTCCACAAACAGTATATTGGCTTTTCCATAATTTTATTTTATTTATAAAGTTTAAAATGACACATAATTCAAAGGGAAAGGGAAAAATATTTGGAATTAGAAGGCAGGGGTCTGAATCTTAACCCAGATACACTACCTAGGACTGTGTAAATCCCATAACCTCTCTGAGAGTCCATTTCCTCATCTATAATATAGGAAGGTTGCACTGGATGAATTAAAAGGTCCCTTTCAGCTCTAAATCCATGATTCTATGAAGGTTCATAAATTGAGGGCATAAACATCACCTAATTTACACCAAAGCATACCAGCCTTGTTTCATGACATTCCCTTGTTTTCAAGGACACACAAACTCAGTTTTATGTCATTCTTTCAGACTTTGCAGATGTTCAAGTGAAAGACATATTTGCTGGAGGAGATGCCAATTTTGTGACCACTGTCCAGTCTCAGGTACATCTCTTATGCTTTCAGATTCATTTGTTAACTCTTTACTCAGTTTTTCAGGGCAGTATTTAAAGCATTATTTAATCCTTATGAATTTGTATTCAAATTTTATTTCTATCTCAAAACATAAAGAAGATTGAATGTATGCTCTGTTAGCATTTTTTTAAAATTAAATTATTTTTCTCATGGGCCTTTAATGCATATTAGTAGATTAGAAAATTCTTCACTTATTTTTGTTCTAAGTTCATGCAACCAAAAATCTATTATACTAGAAGAATTTGCCATTATGTTAGGGGTGAAATTTAAAATATTTATGTAGAGAATTTACACTAGCTGACACATTTTCATTTTATATTTCTTAGGCTTAGGAGAGAGGAAGCATGGTATAGCATAACGGCTAGGGAACTATCCTAAGTGTCAATAAGAGCCCAGTTCAAGACCTATCACTGATATAGTAGCTCTGTGACCCTGGACAAGTCACTTAACCTTTCAACACTTCCAGACAATTATCTAAGACTATATCTTCTTCACATCTTACAGGTGTCAAACACACAGCCTTCAGGCTGCATGCCACCAACATTACTTCTGAGTGCTAATGGAACTAGATAAAATGTAGTTGGGAAATAATTGCAAAATAAAAAAAATACAATGAAACATAGATGACATTGTATTTTTAAATTAAATCCATATGCATCCCGCAATCCCCCTGTTTCTAATTTGATGTTGTCATCATGGAAATCATAAGTCCAATTTTTTTGGGGGGGGCTAGGCAATGGGGTTAAGTGACTTGCCCAGGGTCACACAGCTAGTAAGTGTTATGTGTCTGAGGCCATATTCGAACTCAGGTCTTACTGAACCAGAGCTGGTGCTCTTTCCCTTGCGCCACCTAGCTGCCCCCATTTTTTTTTAAGCTTAGTAATCCTACCTACCATTCATGTTTCATTTTCCTTTAAAGACAAATAGTGATTCATCTACATAGAGTATTTCTTCACCTACGACATGATTAAGCTCAGCAGATCCTTCTACAAAGAAGCCCCATTTTGGCATCAGGGACATGATTAGTAAAGAAATGATGCAGAATTTTCTGCCTCATGACAAAGGCTTTAGAAGGCGATGTAGAATGTTTGGCCAAGAGTTGGTATCTTCAAAAATCATTACTTAAAAAACTTTTCCCTTCCAGGAAGTGATTGAGACATCACTCATTTAGGACATTTGGTTCCAGAGTAGCTTAATAAATGCTAAATGACTGACTTACTGGAGATGTCAAAGAAACCACTTCTGGTTGCTTAATAAAGTAGCGGTTATGCTAATGTCATGTTGAACACCCCAAGACTTCCAGCTCTGTTCACATGTTTTTTTCATCCTTTTTTTTTTTCTCTTCTTGGAGGATGTTAGCTCTTCATGTGCCACTGGCAGAAGCCTACAGCAAATCAGCCAGATCAATCGAACTCTGATTAAGAAATGGACCACAGTGGAAATTGAAAGTGAAGAGTATAAAGAGTCAGCAAGGTTATTCTATACCTTTTTCTCCCTTTGTACAGCAGGTGTTAAGACTATGGCGGGGGGTATAATACCTTAAATGTCATTATTTGAAAGACTGAGAAAGAAAAGAAAGAAGAGAGAAAATCGATCCTTTGCTGTGACTCTCCCGCAGAAAAACAGGCTCTAGCTGTGGGACTTTGGGCAAGTCACTTAACCCCAACTGCCTTAAGAAAAAATAAAAATAAAAACAGGCTCATCAATTTTTGATATGAAAGAACTATTACAGATAATTTGATCCATAGGATTATTGATTTAGAGCTGGAAGTGACCTTAGTCACCTTCTAATTCAACCCCCTCATTTTACAGATGAGGAAACTGAAGACTAGAGAAATTAAGTGACTTATCCAAGAGCACACAGGTATTAGGTCTCAGTTGGAAGACCTGAACCCCCATTCTCTGACTCTAAATCAGATGCTTCTTCCACTGCCCCGCAATGCCCCTTCTCATTTTTCAGAAGAGGACATAGCAGCCCAGGAAGATACAATGACCTTCCCAAGGTCATAGGCAATTTGAGATGTTGATATTGATGATGACAATGATAAACAATAATAACTCACTTATGTAGTACATTACAGTTTATGATTTGCTCATTAAAATGCTGAGCTAGAGTGTTTTATGAAATGTTATCTGAATTTTTTGGGTAAGAAAATTAAAGTTCAAAGAGGTGATGAGGGTCATAGAAAGAGAAAGCACTGGAAGTCGCTTCAGAGGCCATTTTCCCCAGCTGTCTCATTGTAGAAGAATCAGACCCCTGGTTTCATGAATTTTTGCCAGAATACACCAGCCCCACCTAGCATCTGTCAGAGAGGTAGCTGAGGCACTGAAAGGCTGAAGGACTTGTTGGGTTCTACATCCAGAAGATGTCAGAGATAGGACTTGAACCCAACTCTCTGAGGCTGGCTTTCTATCTCCTGTACCATGCTGTCTTTAATGAAGGGGATGGAAAATTTAGGATGCATTTTTTGCTGGAAAAATCATATACCCACTTAAGGAAAAAATAGTACAGAGTACAAAAATTTTTACAGATAATGAAAATGAGACCCAGGAAAAGTAAATGACTTGCCCCAATTCACATAGCAAGTTAAGGACATTGGTCCTTCCTCTTTCGCTCTCTTTGCTAAACATGTTGGACCATCAGCTAATTCAGAGTACTGCAGAAGAGGCCCCTCTGGGTGAATGACCTCACAGAGGATTCTGAAGGTAATTCACCATATAGCCACTGTGTTCCAGAACATCTCTGGGAAAGGGAAAAAATTGCCTCTCAGTAAAGCAGGCCTGCCTTTCTCTTTTTCCATGTCAATTGACTTGCAAGCCAAGACATCACCCTGCTTAGGTCATTGCTCCTCTTTAAGAATGAAGGGAAAACAACAATACACGAGCTGATGCTTAACTGTTAAAATTTTTTCTCCAAGAATTGTTGAGGGTGCCCCCAACAACGCTGCCACTAAGGGAGCACCTAAGATCTCTCTAGATGTAAAGAGATTAGTGTAAACCAACATTTTTATTTTCTTAGGAGTAATGTAATTTCACAGCCTATACTCTTCTTTTTTTCGCTTTGGAAATGTTAGGCTTTATTGGAGGATTGTGTTTTACCTTGAGAATATTTTTTTTTGTATTTTTGAAATACCTGATGTCTCTGCCTCCTTCCCTTTTCTTCCTCTCAAATTAGAGACTTATCTATCTTTGCAAAAATATTAATTGGTTTCATCCAATTGGAAAATCCTGATTTTTATTTTTGTTCTTCTTTAAGTCATAAGATCAGGAAATGCTAAATATAGGAAAATGACTAATGGAATCATTACAACAGTGTCCAAGCTTCTGTTACCTTGAGACTGCTCCTGGTGTTTAGTGAGACCCAAGAATTGTCAGTGGTGGTCTTGGTGGTGAACAATCAATCAATCTAGGTAGGGAACACGGATTGTAATATAATTACAGAGGTAACCTGGGCAATTTGATTCCATGATCACCTTCACTAACTTCCTTGGTGTTCTTTTGTATTCTTAGAGCTGTATAGCAATTTCTTCTCTGAATTTCTATAGGACATTTCAATAGGGTACATGTTACTTGAATAAAATCAATTTAAAAACAAGCGCTAGGTGGCACAGTAGATAGAGCACTGGCTCTGAAGTCAGGAGGACCTGAGTTCAAATCTGAATTCAGACACTTACTAGCTGTGTGGCCCTGGGCAAGTCACTAAACCCCAATTGCCTACAAACAAACAAAAAACAAAACAAGCACTAAGAGGCATTGTTGTTCAGTATAAAACACAATAGCTTTCGATCATAGACTCAACAGGTTTAAGCCTAACTCTGTGACCTTGGGCAAACTACTTAATCTTTCTGGGCTTTGGCTTCCTCATCTCTAAAAGATGGAAGTAAATTAAGGGACCTCTAAGGTTCTTTATGGCAGTAATCTATGACCTTATAAGTAAGAAAGCTAATAATTTTTCCTGTAAACTTTAATTTTTGTTTTTTGACATTATATATTCACAACTCTAGGTTTACACACAATTTTTTGGTGGGGGGTATGTCTCATGTAAAGTAAGATATACTTGCACATGTTAAAAAATAAATTCTTGGACAACTCCAAAATCAAACTCATTTATGTTATTATTTTGGACTTCACATATATAGTTGTCTGTTGTCTACAACATAGAAAAGTTGTGGGTAATATACTGTAATTGATCATGAAAACAGGAACTATGAAGAGATATGCTTTATTGTTTGTTTTGTTTTAATTAACCTTTATATTCTTCCTCATGTAGGGAAATTTGTGAGATATTTTCATATCCTGCTTCTCTGACTGCCAGTTTTTTGAAGAAAAGGTAATAATACTCATGACGATATTTAATTTCATTAAATAGAATAATAGCTAGCACTTGTAAGTGTTTTAAGATTTGCAAAGCACTTTATACACATCATCAATACTTTATCCTTCCCACAGCCTTGGGAGATAGATACTATTATTATCCCTATCTTACAGATGAGGAAGCTTAGGCAGACAAAGGTTAAGTGACTTACTCAGGCTCACAAAGCTAATAAGTATCTGAGGCTAGATTTGAACTCAGGTCTTCCTGACTCCATGTCTAGTCTATTCACTGAACCACATGGCCACCTGAGGAAAGGGAGTTTTTCTTTTTTACCTAACATGATACAGGTACAAAGATGCCTGCACCTGTTGATTGCGAGATTAAGAACATTCAGAAAGATTTCTAAAGATTGACTGTTTTTGATATGTTCAACGCTATCCCAATTAAATTACCAAAAAATGATTTTACTGAATTAGAAAAAAATAGTAACAAAATTCATTTGAAAGAAAAAAAAGGCAAGACTATCAAAAGAAATAATGAAAAAATGAAAAGGAAGTAGGTTTAGCAATACCAGATCTTAAATTATATTCTAAGGTAGTAATTATCAAAACTATCTGGTACTGGCTAAGAAATAGAAAGGTAGATCAATGGAACAGAGTAGACATGCAATTTACAGCAGCAAATAAATATAGTAACCTTGTATTTGATAAGTGTAAAGACTTGAGATTTGGGGATAAGAATTCATTATTTGGTAAAAAAAATGATGGCAAAACTAGAAAGCAGTATGGCAGAAACTGGGCATATTTTACACCATTTACCAAGAAAAGGTCAAAATGGATACATAACCTAGATATAAAGAGAGATATTATAAGAAAATTTAAAGGACATGGAACATATTACTTATCAGCCTTATGGATAGGCAAACAATTTATGAATAAATAAAAGATAGCAGAGTTTTATGTGAGTTTTGGAAAGAGTTCACTTTGAAACATATGAGCAAAAAGCCTAGCATAAAAATGTCAAATGGGCAGTCAGATCAAAAAACATTTACTATTAAATGCTTTACTAGGTGCAAAGTTCTCTGTTAAAATACAAACAAGCCAGGTAGCCTGTGCCCTCAAGGAACTTACACTCTAATGGGGGAGCAGCATACAAAGAACCGGAAGGAAGTATGTTTGAAGAGACAGAAAGGAAGTAGACATGTGTCAGCCTGGTGTGGAGATAGACTGGAAGTAGCATGGAGTCCTGGTTCCAGACAAGATAAGGAGAAAGCTTCGTAAAGACCAAGGTTGTGGGTACAGGGGATAGGGGGAGATGAGGATGATGCCTGGAATCTAGACAGCATGATGTCCAGATGGTTAAAAACAAAGATGGAAGGGTGCAAGCTTTAGAAGAAACATTGCATCTGGAGACCCAACCCCTCATTTATATACAGACATAACCCAGTGAAGTAGTACATTGTATTTGGACATGTCTTTGCTTCATCTGTGCAATGATTTTTTCCCCCCCCAAAGAACTGATGATACTACTCCTATTGATGTTGACTTACAAATGGCAAGAGATGTCTTTGAGGAATTAATGCAGAAGGACTGGATTATAGACACGGTAATAATCTCCATTTTGCTATACAAGGCATTGTATATGTGTACTTATTTGTAGAATGTGTTGTTGTAGAATAGGAATTTAATTATAGGCATTTCACATGAATGCATTTTTAATTCAGAAGAATTTGTTAGCTAGGGAATGTGTTTTAAGATCCTACTACTTTTTTCTTCTTGCACATTTAAAATGGACTATTTGAAACTCTCCTGTCAAGATCTGACCCTAGCATTGGTATATTAAACTCCTATATAACATTTTTCAACATTGATAGCATGGGGGTATATAAAGGAAAAGACTGGTATATCAGACTATGGTTTGAATTCCAGATTTCACTAACTACTCATGTGACCTTCAGCATGTCACTTCCCTAGACTGAGACTCAGTTTCTTTAAATCAGGTAAATTGAGCTAGATGGTTTCTATGTACATTCCAGCTCTAAAATTCCATATAAGGGGGAAAGAGACACTATTTAATAATTATTTTTAAATTACGACAATATTATGTGAAGGCAAGTAATATATTTTGTGGTATAGTTCCCCATAATTTTAGAAATGGTTCTGTTTGTTTATTACCAGCAGTTTGTAGCTCTATACAATAGTTTTTTGGGGTAGTTTGATTGGTAGGGCACTGAATAAGTAAATTAATTTAGGCAGAATTGTCATTTTTTATTATGTTGGCATGATATTTACTTGGTATTTTTCCAATTGTTTAGATCTGACTTCATATGTGTGAAAAGTATTTAGTAATTGTGTTCTTATAGTTCCCGTGTATATGTTGGCAGGTAGACTTCCAAGTATTTTATATTGTCTAGTTATTTTAAATGGAATTTCTCTATCTTTTGCTGCTGGGCTTTGTTGGTGATATATAGACATGCTGATGATATATATGGGTTTATTTTATATCCTGCAACTTTGCTCAAGTTGTCAATTATTTCAAGTAGTTTTTTAATTGATTCCCCAGGATTCTCTAAGTATGCCATCATATCATCTGCAAAGAGTGCCAGTTTTGTTTCTTCATTGCTTACTTAATAGGCAATTTGGAGGTGAGAACAGGTAAAGTTGTCAAGGAAAATGATTTTTTAAAATGAGATAGAAGGTGACCCTTTTGTCCACTATGACTCTGCAGTGATAAGATTCTTCTGCGTGGACATTGGCCTGGGACTGAGGGAAGAAGGAAAAATTGAAAGATGTAAAATAGAAATTTACACAATGAAGCTAGATTTTGGTGAGGGAGAAAGGGAAGGGTAAGAGCAGTAATTCTTTTATGTTTTTTAAACATTTTTTAAAATTCTAGATTTAACACAAAAAAGAGTATTTGCATAGACCTAGCATGCAAAAAGAGAACTCTATGAAATTCCATTTCATATTCCTTGTTTTCAAAACAAGTATATGACATGTTTCACACATTATTTTTAAAACTGTCCTGTTTGTCCATGCTCCTGAATTTCCTTCTCTTCCTTTCTGTTCATTTTTAAATTACCTTTTATTATTATTTTTTGCATAGCTATTATTAATCCCCTCCCCCCATCCTCCTTCTTTCCCTTCCATTAAAGGAGAGAAGGAAAGGCAGAAAGAAAAAAAAACAAAAACCAAACATGTAACACATTAGCATGGTAAAGCAAAAGCAAAATAATCCCAAGGTTGCTAAGTGGTGGCAATGGATAGAATACTGGGGCCTAGTGCTAGGAAGACCTGAGTTCAAATCTAGTCTCAGATACTTTCTAGTTGTGTGACCCTAAGTCACTCAACCTCTTTCTACTCAGTTTTCTTAACTATAAAATAGGTATGATAATAATAATAGCACCTACCTCATAAGGGTTGTGTGGATCAAATGAAATAATGTTTGTAAAGTGCTCAGCACTGTGCCTGACACATAAATGCTTGTTCCCATGATCAAAATTGTATGTTTTTGTGCCTTGCATCCATCACTTCTCTGTCAGGAGATAGGTAACATGCTTCATCATAGATCCTTCAGAGACATGATTGGTCGTTGCTTTGATCAGAGTTCTTAAGTCTTTAAAATGTTGCTATCCTTACATAAGTAGTTTTCCTGGTTCTGGTTCTTCAGTGTTAGTTCATACCACCCAGGATTCTCCGAAATTGTTGCTTCATTTCTTATGCCTCAATAATATTCCATTCCATTCTTATATCACCATTTGTTCAGTCATTCCCCTGGCATCTAAGAGACAATCCAAGGCACTCCTTTAAATTCTAGTTCTTTTGTTTCTTTACACACACACACACACACACACACACACACACACACACACACACCCCTGTCTCACCACCACCTTTCAATTCCTCATGCAGAAGTTTCTTTTGCTCGTGACTATTCCTTCCCTTGTATTATCTTTCTTCTTAACCCATCCATTTTCCATCCCTCTCTTTCCCTGTTGATTTTGAGTTGAAATTCTACAGTGAACTTTGTGTGTATGTATTCAACCCTCCTTCATCCATTTTAGCTGAGTAAAGTTCATCTGATGCCAGCTCTTTCACTATACCTTCATCCATGTTTTATACTCTTTCCACATATTCCAATCGGAAATAGCAAGTGCAGTCCCCTTCTTCCTCCTTTATACATTAGTCTATTCTTCCTTTTACCCTCCCTTTTCATTTCCTTCTTCAAACCCTTAGAACAGAACCAACCTATCCCCCAACCTTTGTTTTTCTTATTTAATTCCCACAATGACCTTTAAGAGAAGAAGGCCCTGACACACTTGGTTTTTTCTCCTCTATTAGAATGTTAGCACTACATCATTACATAGCTACTTCTGATTGTTCAAATAAATTTGCCTTTTTAGATTCCTCTGGATTCTTGTGTTTGTGTGTCAAAATTCCTACTCATCTGTGGTTTTTTCCTCAGAAATGCTTAAATGTCTTCTATTCCATTAAAAATCCATTTTTGTTTATTGGTAGGATAATACTCAGCTTTGCAATGTGTGGGGGAATAGGAACCATAATAGCTTCTTATCATCTTGACGAGCTAATAGTGTAGAAATAAATCCTCCAACCACCTGCTGGCCTAATGGTGGAAAATAAGGAAAAATAAAATGTAACAAAATATATGAATGGATAGTCCCACTTGTTGCAGCAACTATTTACTGTTCTTTCATAAGAGACATTTTCAGGCTTGTTCAAAAGGACCTCTTTCACAATTGGAAAAGTTTGGTCAGCTCCACTTGTCTCCTGCCCTTGAACAGGGAATATCTTCTTAGTCTAATAATAAACTCTGCCAGTGGCATGGAAAACATTCTCCCAGAACTCCTCCTTTTTCCTTGGGCTCATTCCCCATCTCTCTACCTGTCCCTCTCCAAGTGAAAGGTGTTACTTAGCTATCCTAAGCTGCTGGGGGATGCTGCAGATTGGCTATGTGTAATCTAAATCCCATCCATCATCACACTAGTGATCCCTTGGCCAGGAGATTCCATTTTCCAATTTCCTGTGAGCTTCCTGTGCATTTATGAGGTAGAAAAATAATTTACTGTAACTTTTCACTGATTTCTCCATCATCATTCTGTCTGGCACAAACTTCACAGTTTTGCTGCTGTAGGTATGTGAGAGCTAGGCAGTCTGCCTCCCCTTCAGGTAGCTAATTTTGGAAGGAAGTCCAGATGCCTGCTTTCAGAGTTATCATATCACAACATCGTAGGTTGTTATCTGAGCACAACAGATGCTATGAGAAATCATGGATTCATTTTTTTAAAAGAAAAAAATAGTACTCATTTAAAAAAATTTTTTTGGTCTCTGTTATTTTGTCAATTTAGGGAACTCTTGGAGAAGAAATTTCTTCCACACATGCAGATCAGCAACTCCTGTGTGATTTCTGGTCTTTGATATTTGCCTGAGCACTGCTAGGTTAAGTGACTTGCCCAGGGGTCACACATCCAGTATATGTCCGAGGCAGGACTTGACTCCAAGTATACCTGATTAATCCCAGTTCTATACCCATTATGCTCCATTACCTCTCTTTATAAATAAATAGCATAGGACAGCTTTTTCTTTGGAATTCAGAAAAAGTATTCCAGTGATAGTGTTAGTTGATAATGGTGGGTCAAAGATGGGAAGCCAAACTGAAAGCAAAGAAATGTATGAGCATTCTAAAGAAGCTATTAACTGCAGCTTCAAGTGAATAAACAATTCTATTAGAAAGACTCCATAGTAATTTTGGATTCATAGTTTACTTTGTGTGACTTTGACTCCAGTTGCTTAAGTTTTCCCTGTTTCAGTCATTCCACTTTGTTAAATGGGAAACACAACTGTCATCAAGAGTATATGATAGGGGCAGCTAGGTGGCGCAGTGGATAGAGCACTGGCCCTGGATTTAGGAGGACCTGAGTTCAAATGTGGCCTCAGACACATAACGCTTACTAGCTGTGTGACCTTGGGCAAGTCACTTAACCCCATTGCCTAAAACAACAACAAAAGAGTATATGATAATTGTGGGGTAGCTAAGTGGCATAGTAGATAGAGTGCCAGCTCTGGAGTCAGAAGGACACTTGCTATGTGATCGGAGGTAGGTCACCTAACCTAATTCCTTCCAAAAATTTTTTTTAAACAGTATATAATAAAGGTTAGATAAACTGAGCACTTGGTTCCAGAAAGATTAAGTAGTTTTGTTTTGTTGTGGGTTTTTTTTGTTTTTTTTTGTTTGTTTTGCTTTGCTTTGTTTTTTATTAACGTGATACATTTAGTGGCATTGAAGATGAGACTTTCATTTGAGTCTTCTGGCCCACGCCACTGTCCTTAACTATGCCTTTTTAGTAAACATTGGTATTTGAATATTGTCTCAATGTGTTTTTGACTACAGATAACTACATGTCTCAAAGATCATATGCTCAAGGTCCTTCCATGGGATTCTCCACATCAGGAAGCTTTATCAATTTTCCTTCTACTCCCAGAATGTCCTCTAATGCATAAACCTGAGAACTGGAAGTCTCTAGTGGTCCCATTTGCAAAAGTTGTTTGTAAAATGAATGACCAGTCTTCAGAAGTCCTGGGTAAGATCAGTTACATTTAGTATGATTTATCTTTGAGTCTTTCATAAACAAGTATTCCAGTTACCCTAGATTTTAACATCAATTGTATTCTACTCATGATAAGGAATATAATTAATTTAACTTTGTTGGTCTTTAAAATAATAAATTAAAACTAGAATTATATGGGAATGTAACTGTCAATGAATTTTGTTAGATCATTAAATTTTGTTTTTAATTCCAGTGGGATTTAGTCTGTAAAAGGTATGTCATATGTGGATGATTTATTCAACTAAATTAAATTCAGCAAATATTTATCAGTACCTATTGGGTGTCAGGCACTTGGGGAGATACAGGATGATTATAGCATAAGTTAGAGTGCGATAAGTGCGTAAAGGAAGTATAAGTAAAGTGCTTTGGGGAGGGAGGGTAACTTAAAGCTATTGACAATCAAGCAAGGTTTCAGGAAGAAGCTAGAGAAGGACAGGATTTGGATAAGGCAGATGCAGTATAAGCAAATGTAGGAGGAGAGGAAAGTGCCTGTAATAGCACTAAAATTTCAAAAGAGAGGATCAAAGCAAAAGATACTGTGATGAATCATTGAAAGGATTTGTCAATTGAGTGGATGTGGGTTGTGAAAGAGAGAAATGAGAGATGTACTTTTGAGTCTGTGTAATAAAGGCAGTGATAGGTGCCACTGATAATCTTAGCTCAATGAGCTTGGGGAAATGTGGAAAGACTTGCAGGAAATAATGATGAGCAAAATGAGCAGAACCAAGAGAACATTGTATACAGTAACAGCAATATTGTTTTAAGAATGACTTTGAACGAATAAGTCATTTTGACTATTATAAATGCCCAGATTAATTACAAAGGACATATGAAGGAAGACACTCTCTAGATCCAGACAAAGAAGTGATAAACAGAAGTTTGTATAGGATGATTTTACATATATATATACACACATATACATATATACTTATTTGTGTCTAATGGTAGCCATCTTGGGGGGGATGGGGAGGGAAGAAAAAAGGGAAAAAGAAAAAAGAAATTTACATGATAACTTTACTATATATTTAAAAGGAATAGTAAAGTTGTACATAATAGATGTGCAGTTTCATGTGAAATCATCTTTATACCATGTTATGGAATGTTTGTTTTATTTTATGAATGAAAAATAAATAAATTTTAAAAATAACATTAGCTGATATTAATACAGGTCTTAAAGATTATAAAGTGCTTGTGTATTATATCATTTGGTCTCCACATCAATCCTATGATGTAGGTACCTTCAGGTTTTATTATCCTTCTTTTGTAAATGAAGAAACTTTGATTCAGAAAATTTAGGGTTTTTTAAAGGTTAAACAGATAGTAAGTATAAAAGGTAGAATTCAAACCCAGGCTCTCTTAATTCCAAGTCCAGTGCTCTCCCGTAGCATTCCATTCAAAGAAATAAGGAAGAAGAGCTGATTTGGAGGGATGGTGATGAGTTTAGTTGGACAGGTTAAGTTGGAGATGTTAATAGGACACTGGAATAGAGACATCGAATAACATCTCTGGGAAATGCAGGACTGAGGTTGGGAGATGCTGGGGTTTGAAGTAAACCTTTGAGAGTTATCCATGTAGCTGGAGAGTTGAGGCTGTGGCATGAAAAAGACCGTGGTGAGATAGATTGTAAAGAAAATAGGAAAGGTTAGAGGAAAGAATTCTGAGGAAAACATGCATTTCTGGAATAAAAGGAGAAAAACAGCTTATGAAAGAGCAGAGTAGCCGGCGATAGGGAGCTAAGCTGGTGTCGGGTCACAGACCAAAAGTGGAAGGGAACGTGGGGAGATGATAAGCTTGGAGTAGTGACCAGAGCCCTGAACCCACTGTCAAGGGGATCTGAGTTTGAATCTTGCCACCAGACACTTCTAGCTGTGTGAGCCTGGGCAAGTCACAACCTCAGTTTTCTCCTCTGTAAAATTAGGATAATAATAGTAACAGGGTTTTTGGAGAATCGAAAGAGAGAACATGTAAAATACTGTGTAAATCTTAAAGTGTTATATGTATGTATATATACATATACATATTTAAATACATGCACATGTGTATTTCATAATGTGCACATAATGTGCACATATATGTGTGTGTTTATACATACATATATTTATTCATTCATTCGTTTATTTATTTATTTACCTTTATATACTTCAGAGAAATGTGGGAATCATTGGAGGAATCTTCTTTCAACTCATTGATTCAGATGCTCAAAGGAGCCATCAGCTTTCAAATGAATTCTTGGTCTGAAAGTGCTGAGGACCATCGTAATAGCAAAGCTCTCCTTGGAATGCTGAAAAAGCTTCACAGGGTAAGTGAGGTAAACTGTAAGAAGACTGGAACAAGGCAGGGGGGAAAAGGTGAACAATTCTAGTATTCTGTGGCTAACAAACTCCTTTATTCCTTTCCCAATTCCTGTTTTTCAGAGTTGCAAGCAGCTTAGGCAAAAACTCCCTTCCCTGGGTCCACTCCCTATTTTGTTGTGCTCATTCACCTCAGCCCTGCCCCTCCTAAGAACCATTGCACTTTCTGTAAGGCTGACGAATTTCCCTTCCTCCTAGACCTTTTCTCCTCACGCGCTATCCATCTTCTTGCAGTCACAGAAACCTGTTTTTGTCATTTAGTCATTCAGTCGTGTCCGACTCTTTGTGACCCCGTGGACTATAGCATGCCAGCCCCCACTGTCTCTCAAAGTCTATTTCATTCATGTTCATTGTTTCACAGAAGCCCAAACATAAGACACTCTCCCTAGCCATCCTTTTCAACGTAGCAATAGACTGATCCTGATCCAGAGGGCAGGGTCTACCTTTCCCACTAAAGGCTGATACTCAGTCCTCCTTAGGCTCCAGGTGAAAAACTTAACCACTAAAGTGTAGAGTAAGGCTCTTTTTTTCACACATTTCCCCATCCCAGAGACCCTAGGAAAATGACTTAAATATTAGGGTTTTTGAAAATGTTTAGGGTCTCACCAAAAAGTGGGATTCGAAAGGTATTTGATATACAGTAAAGGACAAGTATAGGACAGCCATTTATTACCTTCACATAAAATTAATGCTTAAAACACAAGAGTCTTAAGTGCTCATTTACAAAGACTTAAAACATTATCAATTAACCTATAACTCTTATTATACACTCCTGGGAGGTTGATATTTGAAACATTAAAACAGTGAGAGTGTTAAATATGCATTTCACCCTCCCCTCCCTCAAGGTCCATGTCTTCTGGCCAGCCAAGCCCAAACTTGTCTCCTTGTTGAGATGTCTTCTTGGAGAAAGGAAAAAGAATAAGAATGAAAGTTGTCTCTCCTTTCAAAGTCTACAGAGTGAGCAGCCCTTCCTGGCTCAGTGGCCAGTCTCTCTGACCCAGGGAGCAAGTAGCTAATAAGGGAATTGCTTTGTCATTGCAAGCCCTTAACAATGAGCCACAGGAATCACTCACTAGACATGGCTAGAAGGGCTTAGCCTCTCCCCATGGGACGGCCGCCAAGGACCCATACATGTTCAATGAAGTGTACACCACTACCTGCATTAGATGTACCTTTTGACACACCGGGTCAGAAAGAAGGCAAAGAGCCCTCTGTGCTCTTCATTCACTTCTAGATCCTTCCTCTGACACCATCGCTCAGAAACCTTATGTTGCAAACAGTTTTTCCAGATCTCTTTCTTAGGGATGGTGAGTGAGACAGTGATTGGCTGTGATTGAAGTGTTAGAATTTAGAGTTGGAATGCATGACCTTTGTCTTACTCAAGGCCTTCGGATAGGATCTGTGGGAAATCCTTATCCAAATATCCTCAAGGCAAAGGGGCTCATATCCCTACTCAAAGAGAGGTCAGTGGTGTGAGGAGTGGTCCCCAACATCGATAGACGTCCTTCAGGGGCTACCATATGGTACACTCTTCTTAGAGGGGTAGGGATACTACATGAAGGGCAAGGACAGGGAAAGGAAGTAGTTCCTTAGCATTGCTGGAGGACTATGACTTTGTATAGACCAATCTGCCTCCCCCATTCCAGGGCCCCTTCCCTTTCCCTCAAAGTTCCAGACTTCTTAGGTTTTTCCATTGGATCAGACCCCAGGATCAGGCTAATATATAAATAATATATGAAATATAAATGGGGAGATGCTCAGTGAGCAAAAAGGAGCCATTTCAGGAAAAGACTAGAGAATTTGAAGAAACACCATCATGGCTATCGAAGTCTCCAAGTGTGAGGACAGAATTGGAATGGAGAGAAAGATTATAAGCCAAGTGCTAAATTCTTTGAGAAAGGATGGAAAGGGGCAGCTAGGTGGCATAGTGGATAGAGCACTGGCCCTGGAGTCAGGAGGACCTGATTTTAAATTCAGCCTCAGACACTTACTAGATGTATGACCCTGGGCAAGTCACTTAACCCTGATTGCTGAGAGAGAGAGAGAGAGAGAGAGAGAGAGAGAGAGAGAGAGAGAGAGAGAGAGAATGGAGAGTGAGAATGGAGAATTACAGGCAAGGGCACCACCATCCTCCCATTAACACAGGCTCACAACCTTTAGGTTACCCTCAATTCCTAGTTCTCTCTCACTCCCTCTTATGTCCTACCAAGTCTGCTGCCAAATACTGTCTATCTCCCAAACATCTCTCATATATACCTCCTTCTTTCCTCTGACACCACCTTCACACTAGTGCAGGTCCTCATCACCTCCCACCTGACACTACTGCCATAGCCTGCTGGTTGTCTCTCTGCCTCAAATCTCTCCCCACTCCAGTCCATTTTCCATTCAATTGTGAAACTGATCGTCCTACTAATATGGAAATGCATTTTACATGAATGCACATGTAGCAAATTGCTTGCCGTCTTGGGGAGAGGGAAAGGGAGGGAGGGAGTGAGGGAAGGAGAAAATTTGGAACTCAAAATTTTATATAAAAAAATGAATGTTTAAAATGCTTTTACATGTAATTGGAAAAAATAAAATACTATTAAAATTGATTTTCCTAAAACATGGGTCTGAACATGTCACCTCCTACTTACTAAACTCCAATGGCTCCTCACTACTTCCAAGATCAAATATAAACTCCTCTGTTTGACTTTAAAAAATCTTCCCAATCTGGCCCCTTCCCACCTTTTCAGGCTTCTTGTACTTTACGTACCTCCACATTCTCTATGATGCAGCCTCCTTGCTGATTCTTGCACATTTCCCAACTCTCCCACACTGGAGAAACATCAGTGCGTTTATTGAAGTCTCCAAACATGAGGGCAGAATTGGAGTAGTGAGGAAGATTGTAAACCAAGTGCTAAACTCCTTGAGAAAGGGTGGAGAATTATCCATCTCCCAACTCCACACCTTTGGACCAACTGAACCCTATTCCTTGGTTTATCTCCCTCCTCATCCCTCTCTCCTGACTTTCCTAGCTTCCTTCAAGTCTCAGCTATTATCCCACCTTTTGCAAGAGGTCTTTCCCTGTTTCTCTCAATGCTAGTCCCTTGCCTCTAAGATTACTTCCAATTCACCCTGCATATATTTTGTTTGCTTGCCTGTTACCATGTTGTCTCTATTAGAATGTAAGCTCTTGGTTTTTGTCTTTTTTTTTTTTGTATTTCCAGTTCTTCGCAGAATGCCTGGTACATGGTAAATGCTCAATAAATGCTTATTTCCTTAATTTAGGACTATAAGAAATGGGTTCCAATCTGACCTCTGTCATTTACTACCTTTGTGACATTGGGCAAGTTAGTTAAATTCTTTGGATTTCAATTTCTTCATTTATAAAATTAGGTGGGTTATAATATTTATATGCACTTAAATATTATAAAGGGTGGGTGGCCTTTAAGGTATTTTTAGGCTTTGTACTTATGATCTTCTGTACCTCTGCTTTAGAGAATGGGAGAAGGACCTAGTCAAAGGACAGTTGTATTATTTATCCTTTTTCTTCTTCTTCCACTACTGAATTTACACCAGGGGCTGGAGTTCCTAGTTATAGTTCTGGCTAGAATGCGAGTTCATATTGGAACCATACCAGAAGGTAGTCTAGAAATTATACCTGGTAGTTTCAGACTCTTCACTATGGCAAATAAGATAAAATAAATTTTAAAACTCTGCTATGGAATCTGTACCACACAGATCTATGGGGCAATATGGTGCCACAGAAAGAGTATTAGATTTGAAACCAGAGGATCTGAATTCGAATTTTGTGGACCATTTCCTGTCTATATGAACTTGGACACCTCTTTTCAAACCTCTGATTCTCAGTTTCCTCATCTTTAAAAATGAGAGAACTAGATGACCTTTGAGTTCTCTTGTGGGTCTACATCTATGACCCAGCAAAATAGGTGTAAGTGAACAGAAAACTGCAGGAGACAAGTCTGAATCCACACTTCCAGGAGATGACCCGGAAAGTGCTATAAGTGCTGTGGAGTAGGAAGAGTGTGTGAAGCTGAATGGTACTGTCATAAAGGTTCACGTTTGGTTAATTTCACTGAATTGGACTTTCCCCCCTCTTTAAATCTTTGTTGTAAGCGATGACTGATTAGGGAAGGGAGAAGGGATGAATGAATGGGATGAAAGAACATCAGGAACCATCGAAAACATGATGAAATTGAAAAATAAACCTAATTGGTTGGCCTTTAGCCTGATTAAGTAATATCCATACTGTTTATTGATATAAAAGTACACTCATAGTTAAACATGTTTTATTTAAGACAAACAAGAAGGCTAAATATAAAGTTCCGGAGAGTACATTCTACATCAGTGAACTCTGCGATGGCTCAATTTTTATCAAGACCTAAGAAGATGGTATTTTTCCAAAATGCATCCTGTGAGTATGTCATATCCAGGGTAACATCTCCTTTAGCCTGGCTCCCCAGCTCATACTTAGAAGTCAGGTTCTTGGGTAAATGACAACAATAGCTCCCATTACTCTATGGATCTGAACTTTTAAAATTATAATTATTCTCTTACGCTATTCAATTCTTGGCTTTCATAAACCAAGGTTTCAACATTTCTTGGGTTCATTATTGAATCAATAAATATGTTGTACATTAAAAAGATGTAGTTTGTGTGCCTTTTATATACTTTCTGAGAATTACTGACCATCTTCTAACAAATACTTCCAGGTTTTGGAAGTACTCAGAACAGGGATTCTTAACCATTTTTGCATCATAAACCCCTTTGAACTTCCAGTGAAGCCTTTGGACTTCTCAGAATGTTTTTATTTTATTTTTATTTATTCATTTTTTATTTATGAGATAAAACAAGCATCTCCATAACATAGTATCATAAAAAAGATGATTATACATGAAACTGCAAATCTGTTCTGTATAACTTGCTATTTCTTTTAAATATATAATAAAGTTATCATATACATTTCTATTTTTTCTTTTTTTAATCTTTTTTTCCTGTCCTCCCCTGCCCTAGAGATGGCTACCATTAGACACAAATAGAGATGTATGTGTGTATACAAATGTATACATACACATGTATGTATATAAATATAAAATTATTCTATACATCTATTTATCAATTCTTTCTCTGGATTCAGAGAGTATCCTTCTTCACATGTCTTTTATAGTTCATTTTAAATGCATAAAATACATTACTTAGGATTACAAAGTAAACCAGTTACCTTAAAGTATAGTATAAAACAAATACACGGGCCTTGGGTTAAGAACCCCTGACTTAGAAGATAGCCCCAAAAGATCTAGGGGAGAGATTAAGGTAGGATAATGGAGTGGGGCTTTTCTGTTTTTTTTTTCAAATGCTCATAAATACTATAATTTCTCTTTAATTATAGGAGTCTTCAGATGAAGCCAACAGTCCTGTCATATTTTCACACTTCCCTTTCATCTTTAATCTGCCTTCCAAAATTAAAATGTTGAATGCAAATTCAGTTTTAAATAAGCAGGTATGTATGCCCATTTTCTTCACTGTCATCACCAAAAAGTATTTCCCAAATGTCTGCCGTTCATACCAGTATTCTAGGCTGGATAGATAATTATAGAATATTCAAAGCATGAATCTTAAGTTTATATGTTAAAGAAGACAAGTTAGACTAATTAGTACCCAAGAGAGGAGAGCAGAAATAAGAATATTCGTATAAACACAATTCACATTCTTGCACATGGATGGAAAAGAATCGGTGCATTGCTTAGCAGTGACAGATGTCAACTGAAAATGAAATCAAGTTGAATTTTTTGGAAGGACTAATTGGTATGTCTGTCCTATCACAGGCGTGTTTGAAAGTTGACTCCTTAAAGGGGCTCGTGAATTTCCTTTAGAAGCCTTTTACCTGGGACGGCCTGATCACTGCAGTACACTGGTGCTTTCTGCTGTGCTGCTGCTCCCTAAGGCTTCCCAGGTCTCCATGCTGGGGCTTTCTCAGGGGAGCCCTCTGGTCTTGCCACTGCAGGACGTAGAACCTTACAAGCTATATGTCTCCCCTTCATAGTCATACTGGTATTTGCTTTGCTAAAGGGGCCCCCTTTCAGGTTTCCATGGGTTTCTGGCTGACCTTTTGTGTATTTCTTGGCTGGATGATGGATTTCCTGTGGTTTCTCACTGGATTTCTTGATCATCATTTAATCTGGTGTGAAAATGAGGATTTTGCTGGAGTAAGAACAGGGAAGCTGTGCGACCTACCTTCTATTCAGGCACCTTTTGTGGCCGGAAGTCCAAATAAGCTTTTGGAATTGTGTGCCTTTGAATAAAAAACTAGCCTAGCTTCCATGGAATAGGGCCTTAGGATATTACTCTTACTATACCTTCAAACCAAATTATATCTCTAGTACTATGATGTCTAGAAAACTCTCTCTCTCTCTTTTTTTTTTTCATGAGGCAATGGGGTTAAATGACTTGCCCAGGGTCACACAGCTAGTAAGTGTCTGACTCCAAGGCTGGAGCTTTATTCACTGCACCACCTAGCTGCCCCTTAGAAAACCTGTCTTAACAGAAAATGATTCACTTCTTTATCTTTTTGCTATTTTTGTTACAATAAGGGAATTTATGGAAGAAAAATCAGCAATATGGAAATAAAAGGATATTTTTTTTTGGTGTGTCACTTACATACTGAGCTTACAACCAAATTTTCATAAAGAGGAACTAGAAGTTTTTAGAATCTTAGGACATTTTGAAAATAACTAAAAATAATTACCAGGCACTTGAGTACTCAGATTTTACCTGGCTAATCTTGTTTACTAACACCAAGGGGCCCAAGATAACCCTTAGACAGCCACCAGGGTAGAATGATCTCAGATTTTTACTGTATACCAATTTTTCCATGTGCTATTTTGATATTCAACAATAAATACAGAATAATATGTTCCATCTTGCTTTCTCTTAAGTGGTTGGGAACAGAGTACCCATGACCGTAATAAATGTAAAATACAAAATCAATGATTTAGAGATGAAAGGTATTTTTGAGTCCATCTAGTCTAGTCCCTTATTTTACAGATGAGGAAACTGAGGCTCCAGAAAGATAGGTGACTTGCCAATAAATTAAACCAATTCATTGCAATGTTGAAGCCCTCACTGAGAGTTGTAATTGAGAAAAGGAAAAATGAAGGGAAATATCTATTTTTTCTCTAGGCTTTCCTACCTTTACCTCCATTGCATGACTTTGAAAGTCTTATGCCATACCAACTATGTGGATTAGTCAAGACAGCTTATCTTCCTCTCCAAGTCAGACGGAGTCACCTGGTTGAGGATACCCTGTGTCAATTAAGCCAAGTTGTGGACAACGACCTTAAGAAGGAATTATTGGTAAAGTGTACCTTTTCACCTTCTACCTGGAAAATATCTAGATAGTACGGTTTATCTTGGCATTCTCAGAAGCCATCTCTTCCCCTTATTCTTTCCCTTGCAGATTCTCAGTCTTGAGGTTTTCCTCATTCTTCAGTTGCTCTCAGAGTTTCAGGTGACAACTATGACTAGGTGTGCCTATTTAAGATACTCTAATAACAATTTGCCCCATTTCTACCCTGTGAGCAAAGCCTGATTTTAGTCTTTTACTTCACTGTCTGCTTAAATCTGGCATAGTCCTGAATAAGGCATTAAACAGGATGCCAGGATTATAGATCAGGATTGGGCAAGATTGAGAGGGTTCCTTTTGTTCTAGGGCAGATGGACTCTGAGCTTGTTTTGTGCAGCATATAGCTTTAGTGCTGTATGCTGACTTGGCTGCTTCTCTGCTTATTCTGAATATAACCATGGGAGCGATTGTTTATAAAGCCCCAAACAATTTGACCTTAGCCACTGGAGGGAGGGTGTCCTTACCACCTCGTGCTCTTGTAATACCTAAAGCCAAGTAAGAACGGTCATGAGGATATCCATAAATCAATAGCAAGCATTGATTAAACATATACTATGCTGTAATTCCCATTAATTCTCCAGTCTTCAGTCTTCCCTGTCTTCCTAATCTTCCAGTCTTTCCCTAGGGTCCTCACAGATGACCCTCCACCCCCGCCAGGAGTCCCTGCTGCCTGTGAACAGACCAATACTTACCCCTCATTCTTAAAAAAAATCCCCTCAGCTGGTCTTACCATTACCACTGTCATTCTATACCTCTGATCCACCATAGTCAGACACGCCGTACCTTGACCCAACATAGTGACGCCATTTCGTCCCTCTTCGAGAATAAAGGACGCCAATCAGCATTTCTGCTACACTGCTTCTTGATGTCCCTTACGCATCTCCCAGCTGAGTATCTTTTTTCTTGTGGTTCCCCCAAGCCTGGAATACTCCCCACTTCACATTTGCCTCTTAACTTCCTTCAAGATCCAGCTCAGATCCTATCTTTTTCAGGATGCCTTTCCTCAAGTTCCATCCCTCTAAAATTACTTTCCAGGATTACTTTCCTGAAGTTAGATGTACATAGCTAGTTCTGTGTTATCTCTCCCATTAGAATGTGATCTCCAAATGGGCAGAAACCGTATTTTTACCTTTCTTTGTATCTCCAGAGCTTAACCATTAATAAATGCTTCTTAATGGGTTGAATGAATAAATGACTGACATGACAAGCACTATGCTAGATAATGAGGGTTAAGAGGCAAAAACTAAATAGTCCCTGCCCTCAAGGAGCTTACATTCTATAAAGCAAGATACAGATATACAGGTGATATTCCCCAAATTCCATGAGAAAAAGGAAGAAGAGAATTTTCCATGGAGGATATTATTTTGTGGAATTATCTGTCCATTCTGACTTATTAGAAACCTAGCCTATGCAGCTGCAGTCAGAGTATCAAAACATAACTTATTAGATTATGCACCTACATGTTTCATGCATTCTTATTTAACATTATATTTGTACTCTGACTTATGAAATCTGAAAAGCAGATTATTAATCGAAGTCTACAATTTATTTAGCACTCCATGGCATTCAATTATTTTTAAGTATAGTCACAAGAGTGATTTCTATTTGAGAGTTCAGAATGTATTGGAAAATTTAAATTCAGGGATAATTCTATAATATCTCCTTCACTTGGGGAAACATGGATCAAGATGATGCTGTTACTTTTGTTATGAAGAGATTCATTTGGTAACATTATTTCCTGATCATCATTGATAATTTATATACAGATGGAACAGGTGAAGTTGAAGCTTCACAAAAAACCAAAAATACATACTGTAATAAAGCACTTTTCCAATTCTCTGCTTCAGTTGTCTCATTATAATCTTGTTCAAGCAAAGTGAATATTGAACTACACAAGGGTAGGCATTCATTTATATTAAGACTTAATGTGTTTGATGCTAAAGAATACTGCAAGAGGCCCAAGTCATTTATGAACTTGAAGGTATGTCTAATCATTTTCTTTCCTTAGATCTCAATAACTGGAGAAACTTTTCCTGAATGTGGAGGAGTCAGGAAAGAATTTTTCCATTGTGTGTTTAAGGAGATGACCCAACCAGAGTATGAGATGTTTATGTATACTGAAAAGTCTTCCCTTATGTGGTTTCCTGCCAATGTAAGTCTTAATTTCTTTGTTTCTGGGATTTCAGGAGAGAAAGCATTGACCCACAAATCATATTATTTAACATTCATTTATACTGATATCTAGCTGTTCTGACTTGCTAGTAAGTTCTATTGCCACTTATTAATTTATTAACGTGTGTGTGTGTTTGGAGAGGGAGAACACAACATTTCTTTTCTGGTCTAATTGCTGCAGAAATTGAGTGAGAGATTGGCCAGAGTTAGAAGTAACTTTCTCCTTTCCTCCTTTTTTATTCCACTGTTCCCAAAACAAATAGTAGAAATCAACTTATCTGATCCATAGTTTTCTTTCTAAACACAGCTCTACTTTGTGGGCACAATGACCCTCGGTATAAAGCTGACCTGACATAAGTCACATGTTCCCCAGGTTGTGCAACTAAATCTTTTCTCCTTGGGGCTGTCCCAATGGGAGAACTGAAATTTATTATATATATATATATATATATATATATATATATATATATATATATATATATATATATATACATATATGTATATATATACACATATGTATATATATATATACACATATGTATATATATATACATATATATAAATAAAAATATATATATATAATTAAAAAAATATATATATAAAAATAAAATATACATATAAAATATATACACATACACATGTACACACACATGTATGTATACATGTGTGTACAACACACTTATGTATATACACAAAATACATGTGTATGTATGTGTACACATAAACAGATACATATACATTTCTTTTGTTCCTAGTATATATAGTTAAATATTCATTTGCCCCCTTTCCTATTAATAACATGACTTTATCCCAGTTTTGTTTCCCAAAAGAAATCATAGTGGGGGCTAGGTGGCTAAGTGGATAGAGTACCTGCTCTGGAATCAGGAAGACCTGAGTTCAGATCTGGCCTCAGACACTTGATCACTTGACACTTACTAGCTGTGTGACTCTAGGCAAGTCACTTAACCCCAATTGCCTCACAAAAAGAAAAGAAAAAGAAATCATGGAATCACAGAATCTGAGAAGAGACTAACCTACATATGAAAGGAATCCCCACTATAATACATGTCACATGTGGTTGTCTAGCTTTTGCTTAAAGACCTCTAAAAGAGAGAGCCTACCAACTGTTGAGGCAACCCATTCCTCTTTTGGACAGCTCTGATTATTAGGAAGTTTTGTCTGACCTCAAACCTAAATTTGCCTCTTTGACATTTCCACCCAGAACTGCTCTCAGTTCTGCCCTCTGAGGCCAAATGAAGCCAGGTTAGTCTCTCCTCCACAGGATATCCTTTCAAACACTTAAAGATAACAATCATGTTTCACCCCACACCTCCACCCCCAACTCTTGTTTTCTCCAGGCCAAATGTGCAGTTTCTTGAACTGATCGTCACAAAACCTGAACTTGAGGCCCTTCACCCTCCTGACTGACCACCTCTAGACATTCTCCAACTTGGCAATGTCTTTCTTAACTTGCAGCACCCAGAATTGATCACAGTATTTCACATAAGATCTTAATGAAGCCCAAGATTGAACTAGTCCTCTTTTCTCATATGTATGCTGTAAATTTGAAGGAAAAATCAATGTTAGTTATGAACATTTTAGTTGGAATATGTTTTTGGCTTAATTTTGGTTTTTTGTAAGTAAAATGAACAATTGCTCTGTGCCATCAACAGTATTCCTTGAACTAGAAACGTTTCACCATATTTGAAAATATTTTTGTGTTTGAATATAACCACAAATAATCACTTTGCCTCAAACCCATTTTTATTGTAATTTGTAATTTGATCTTTTATTGTAATTTGTAACTTAATCTTAAACAATCTAACCTAAATTAAATATGTGTAATAATATTTTAAAAAAGCAGTGTAAAACCAATTTTAAATGTTCATAAATCCTCCCCCTTTCTTTTTTCTTTCAGCCTAAATTCACCAAGAAAAGGTATTTTCTCTTTGGAGTACTATGTGGCCTCTCCATAGTCAGTTGCAATGTAGCCAACCTTCCTTTTCCACTAGCTCTCTATAAGAAACTTTTGGATCAAAAACCATCCCTGGAAGATTTGCAAGAGCTGAGTCCTGAATTGGGCAAGTAAGTAAGTTTAGTTATCTATTCCCGTATAACACCCCCTCTCAACTTATTCCTCCAACTTGGACTTGCAATGTCAAGGTAGGTTCCCAGAAGGGTGGCTACTGATCTTTTCAAGATTGTGTAGGTGTCTATCCTTCTGACACTATAGCTTACGAGCCCCTACTGGTGTGTTACCCTTTAACAATCAGCTAGTAGAGTAGATACAGTTCTTTGGCAAAGATATTTACTCAAATGACATAGCAAGAACAGTAGTTACTTACAAAGTATTTTCTCCCAAACAAGGACATACTTTCCCACAAATATACACACTTAAAGTGCAACAGTAGTAAGGTGTGTGTGCAGGGAATACCAATTGCCAAGGCAATTCACAACTCTGGGACAATCGGACTTTGATATCCTTTCTTTCTGGGATGCAAGAAGGTGGGGGACGGGGTCCTCTTGAAGTTGGGGGAATCGAATCAAAGAGAGATGAAACTTCTGTACTAGGTGATATCTGAAGTCAATAAACAGTCAATAAAAAACAATTAAGCTCCTACCATCTGCCGGGCACTGTGTTAAGCGCTGGGAATAGAAACACAAAAAAAGATTGTCCCACCTCCAAGGAACTTCACCTAAGGGAGGAAGACAGCACACAAAAGGAAGCTAAAAAGTGGGAGCGATACCAGGGAAAGTTCACAATATACCCAACGGAGGGGCATGGCGAATTCAAAGAAGTCCCAAAGCAGTGCAGCCGGGTGAGAAATGGAATTTCAGGGCTGAGTTCACTTTTTAAATGGAGGTTTTGGAGTCCATAGTCGCACTCTCCACTTGGAAGGAGAGGGGTAGGAATGGGGCAGAATACTGAGAGATTCTGCAGGATGATGAAGTTTGTCCATTAAGAAGCATAGTGCAGGGCAGCTAGGTGGTGCAGTGGAGGGATAGAGCACCAGCCCTGAAGTCAGGAGGACCTGAGTTCAATTCTGGCCTCAGACCAAATGCTTCACACTTACTAGCTGTATGACCTTGGGCAAGTCACTTAATCCCAATTGCCAGAAGAAGGAGGAGGAGGAGGAGGAGGAGGAGGAAGAGGAGGAGGAAGAGGAGGAGGAGGAGAAGAGGAGGAGGAGGAGGAGGAGGAGGAGAAGAGGAGGAGGAGGAGGAGGAGGAGGAGGAGAAGAGGAGGAGGAGAGGAGGAGAGGAGAAGAGGAGAGAGAGGAGAGGAGGAGGAGGAGGAGGAGGAGGAGGAGGAGGAGAGAAGAGGAGGAGGAGGAGGAAGAGGAGGAGGAGGAGGAAGAGGAGGAGAGAAGAGGAGGAGAAGAGGAGGAGGAGAAGAGGAGGAGGAGGAGGACGAGGAGAAGAGGAGGAGGAGGAGGAGGAGGAAGAGGAGAAGAAGAAGACGAAGAGGAAGAAGAAGAAGAAGAGGAAGAAGAAGAAGAAGAAGAAGAAGAAGAAGAAGAAGAAGAAGAAGAAGAAGAAGAAGAAGAAGAAGAAGAAGAAGAAGAAGAAGAAGAAGAAGAAGAAGAAGAAGAAGAAGAAGAGTTATAGTGGAGAAGTAAAGTAGTGCAGCAAGCTGAGACAAGACGAGTCCTTTCCAGGTCTAAACTTATGATCTGAAGTCCCTTCTAGCTCTGTATCTCTGAACCTCTGACACCCATATTTAGGAGTCAGGAGATAGATGAAATCAAGCAAAGAAGGTGGAAAAGGAGTAACAGACAGGTAGGAGAATTACAAAGAAGATTATTGAGGCTAAGGGAAATTATCCAGAAGAATGGAGTGGCCAATACTTTAAAAAGTATCAGAAAAGTTGGGAAAAATGAGGACTGATGAAAAGTCATCAGAATTAGCATTGAGAAAATAGTTGCAATATAGTAAAGAGGTTAGAACTCTGGTTGCAAGAGGCTCAAGCTCTAATGGGAATTATGAGGTTTTAGAGCCAGAAGGGACTCAAGGGAATCTAGCGCAACCTCTTCTTTTTACAGATGAGCTAACTGAGGACCAGAGAGGTTAAATAACAGTCAGATAATAGCAGATCTGGGATGAGAGTCATACTACAAATACACTAATGTTCTGCCCACTACCCCATACTGGTATGATTTACTTCACATAGACACTCTTTTGCTTTTTAAACTTTTAAAATTATCTTTCCTTCAGCAATTTGAAGTTACTTCTAGATGAAAATGCTGACATAGAAGAATTTGACATACGTTTTTCTGTGAGTACTACTGAAAAATAGTATATAGATGGACTTTTAACATATGTCCACCCGTCACAATGGCCCTTACTGAAATGCTACCTTCTACAATAAGCCAGTTTTTATTTCTTATTTGGTAGGAGATATGTCTACATAATAGAAAATGAAGCACAAATTGATAATTCAGGTTTTAAAAGTATATTTTGCAGTCAGCATTATCCAAGAATGACTGAGTTGGAAATTTTTTACATTTATATTTATTTTAAACAAATTGGCTCATTTAGCTGTCAATTAGGGGATATTCTCTAAGAAAAATTCCTATGCATAAAGGATGGGAGATAGTTATGGATATAGTGTTATACTGAGGGAATGGCACTGATTTGGGAGTCCAAAGACCTAAGTGGAAATCACTTAAGTGCAGGGGGCTGCCTGAAAAAGAGGAAATGCTATATAATAGGAAAAACCATTGCATATGGAATCAAAGGTGATGAGCTGGAATCTTGCCTTTGATGCTTATTAGTTGTGTGACCTTGGACAAGTCATTTCATCTCTCTTAGCCTCAGTTTCTTCATCTGTAAAATGAGAGTATTAGATGAGTTGACCTCTAAGGTTCCTTCCAGCTCTAAATTATGATTTTATGACAAAATTATCTCTAAAGTCTCTTCCTATTCTCAGTTTAATATCTTACACTACAACTTGCTACCTGGGTGACTCTGAGCATATCTCTTAATCTTTCTGAAGCTATTTCCTTATTGCAAAATTGTAAAATTTTCCTTATTGTAAAATAATGGGATTATATTAAATGATCATTAAATTCCTATCAGTTTCTTATTCTTCTTATCCTATGACTACTTCATACTGTCACCTGAATGTGTTTGTGGTTTTAGATATACTGGGACAAAAAAGATGTTGACCTTATTCCAAATGGGAGCTCCATACCTGTGGACAAAACCAACAAGTAGGTATAGTAGAAATAAATACCTGTTTTTAATGTTTTTAATCTGTCATTAGAGACTTAATATATTAGCACTGTTAATTTATTGTTTCTGTTAACTATCTCCAGAAAGGTGAGCCAATCCTTTGTTGTTATTATTATTATTTTAGACTAAGAAATAGTAATTTTTTTGGCTCATTAACAATCTATGTGTAATAATATAAAGTCATTAAAATACACCCACTAAAACTTATGAGGTCAAGCCTCATTCTTTGCAGGTTCCATATCTGTGAATTTGCCTATTCACTAAAATTTATTTATAGCCCCAAAATCATACTCACAGTACTTTCATAGGCATCATAGATGCGGGCAGAGCATTGAAAAATCTGCCACCTAAAGTGCTGCTTCCCCACTGAGGCTGAACAAGGCTTTCTTTTTTAAACTCTCATACTATAAACAAGTATTCCTTTTCTGCTATTCAGTGCCACATTTTCCTCTGTGTGTGTGTGTGTGTGTGTGTGTGTGTGTGTGTGTGTAATTTTGCTGTTTAAAATGACCACCAAGCATGGTGTTCCTAAGTACAAAAAGGTTAGGATGTGCCTCATGGAGAAAATCCATGTACCAGAAAATACGTTTGTTCAGGCATAAGTTTTAATGGTATGGACATGAGTTCAATGTTAATGAATCACACAATGTAGTACACTCAGAAAAAGAAAGAGAAAATCTGCCAGTCTTTGTGTGAAATTTGCCAGTCACTCCAGAAAGTGCTAAGGTAAATTTTGTGACCAGAGGCTCACAGGAACCTAACCCTGCATCCCCTAGAAGCAAGGGTTCAGCATTCACTGATTTGGTGTTTGTGGCAACTTTATAAAGTATAACTACCAGAAATGACACAATTTGATTGTATTTGGATATTTAATTCATATTTTTCTAATCTATAATTACTTCCTTAGTCTAGGATTATAATTTCACATTGGCTATTTTTCACTGTGGAGTATTTCACAAACACTCTCTCCTCTTCTCCTTTTTTTTTTTTTAAAAAAAAGCAATTGGGGTTAAGTGACTTGCCAGGGTCACACAGCCAGTGTCAAGCGTTTGGTCTGAGACTGGATTTGAACTCAGGTCCTCTTGACTTCAGGACCGATGCTCTATCCACTGCACCACCTAGCTGCACCTTCCTTTTCTCCTTTTCATCATTAAATCACTGGTACCCACTACCATTGCCTCTGGAAAGGGGTGCTAATGGACTGCTCTATTGTGCTAAGGACCATCTTTGTGACTTCCCAGACCATAACTCCCTTCTCTGCCTACCACTTCCCTACATATTATTACCCCAATTAGAAAATAAGTGCCTTAAGGACAAGGACCTTAGCACAATGCTTGGCACACAGTAAGTGCTTAATAGATGCTTTTCATTCATCCTTCATTCATTCATCCATTTTTCTGAGGACTGAGTTAGATAACGACTTTGCCCCAACTCTGGTTTTTCATTTATTAAACATTTAGCTAGAGAAACCTCTTTCCCCACAAGCTCATAAGCAAAAGCTTATAATGAAGAGATGTGTGTTGTGTATATATCGTTGTTCAGTCGTTTTTCAGTTGTGTCTGACTCTTCATGACCCCATTTGGGTTTTTTTTTGGCAAAGATACTGGAGTGGTTTGCCATTTCCTTCTTCAGCTCATTTTACAGGTGAGAAACCAGAGTCAAATAGGGTTAAGGGATTCACCTAGGTTCACACAGCTAGTAAATGTCTGAGACCAGATTTGAATTCAGGAAGATGAATCTTCCTGACTCCAGGCTTAGCACTCTTATCAACTATACAACTGAGCTGCCCATTTATATATAATACTACATATAAATTATACACACACAACACACACACACACACACACACACACATGCTATATATGTATGTGTGGATATATGCAGATGCATGTGCATATGCATGTATATACACACATATGTAGATCACACACATATACACATATGTGTATATGTGTATTTGTAGAGGGGGGAAGAGAAAGTAAGAGAAGAAATTACACACACACACACACACACACACACACACACACACGTTCTAGGTTTAAGAAGACATAATTACCTAAAATGTATCATCAATGTGAAGGATCACTACCAGAGTCATCCCTAACCATCACTGCTACTTCCTTCTGACTTCTCAACTCAGCACACACTCACCATTCTTTTAATAAAGTTTTTTTTCCCCCAAGATAAGAGTTAAAATACTTCTCTCAGGAAAGAATTTCTTTTAGTTCATTTTCTGTGTCCTTATATGATCTCTCTTCAACCATGACAAGACCTTCCTGAAAAGACAAACTACCAGTCTATCAGGATTCTGTTCCCTCTTAAGATATGGTAAAAATCGGTGGCCAGGGCTATTGAAGTAGGGGCACTAAGCACGGTATACATAAGTGTCTAATTACTGTTATTCTTTGACAGTGGCCTGCTATGGCATTACTACTCTTGTTCAGCTCAAGGTGGCATAAGAATCACTATTAAAAGGTCTATCCTGTTCCTGTGGTTCATCACCTGTCACTTCTGTACACTTTAAATACTTTCTAACTTGCCAGATGTTTCTATATCCCCTCTGTTTTATAAGGTTGTACAAAGTATAAAAATCTTCTATGTTCCAGTTAAGTGCAAATTGGAGGATGAGAAAAAAAGCAAAAGTAACAAAGATATAGATTATATACACGTGTGTGTGTGTGTGTGTGTGTGTGTGTGTGTGTGTGTGTGTAGAGAGAGAGAAAGAAACATCTATATCTATATATTAATAAAGATCATCTTCTGGCTTTCATAAAGGGAAGATTTTGTTTCTAGATGTATTAATTACATCTTCAACACATCTGTGAAAAAGATTTATAAGGAGTTCCAAATGGGATTTTACAAAGTCTGTACAAAAGAGATACTCGACTTATTCCATCCCGAGGAACTTAAGGAAGTGACGACTGGAAACCCAGATTATGACTGGAAAGTTTTTGAAGAGGTATGTAATAGGAGAATGGATTCAAAATTTCCCAAATAATGTCTATATCTTCTCAATAAACTTTTCTTTCTCCCTTTCCTTTTCAAGAATTCACAATATTCCAAAGGATATGATAAGTCACATCCTACCATTGTGATGTTTTGGGAGGCTTTCCATAGATTGTCTCTGGAAAAGAAGAAAGACTTCCTCTGTAAGCTATTGATCTTTATAAATCTCTTTTTTTTTTAAAGTAACATCTCCCTTGTGAAGAAGTATCTATTTATGGTTGTTCTTCTTATTAATGTGGCTGTATCTACAACTGTAGAGATCACAACCATCACTGGCTGGCCATGCTGCATAAATCTTATCCACGTCCTCAATAGAGGACCTTATTGAACCTGATTCAAGGAAGGAAGAAGTTTTCCTTTCTTTTCTTGATGTCACAAGTATACCAATTAGGCATCTGTGGCAAAGTAGATAGAGAGCTAGGCTTGGAGTCAGGAAGACTTGAGTTCAAATCCAATCTTGGACACTTACTGTATGACCCTGTGCAAGTCACTTAACCTCTGTCAGCCTCAGCTTCTTTTACTGTAGAATGGAGATAATAAGAGCATTTACCTCGAAGGGTTGTTGTGAGGAACAAATGAAATAATATTGGTAAAACATGTAGCCCAGTGCTTGGTACTTCCCCCAAACACAGAGATCCTTTATTCCCTGTACTTATCATGGGACTAGATTGAGTTTTTTTTCTATTCATTTCTTCGATGACGTTTTACATTTTTCTTTCATAATTCTTTGTGATGTTTACAGTCACATATGTACACCACATACCCCTGCATTACAACATTTGTGAACTTAAATATCGTCTGGGGGCTGTAATGTTCCTGTACTCACAGCCACATCAAAACACCAGAAAAATATTGGTGGTGAAAAAATAGGGTCTTTGTTTTCGGGAGAAGCCTGGGAACATTGAAATAACTTTTCCCAAAAGCAATTCAGGGCACTCCCTCCCAACTATTCTACTTTGTTATTGATTTCCAGTGTCAGCCCAAGATATAGCTACAAATAGAGGTAGCTAGGTGGTATATTGAATAGATATTAGGACTTGGAGTCAGGAACACCTGATTTCAAATCTAGCACTTCTACTCTAGTGTTTAATTGGGGATTTAAAATTTGTTCCTTTTCTAGTTTGTTTTTTTTTAATCGCATGCTTCATTCATTGGTCTGTTCTTTTTCTCTCGTATTGATGTAAGCATTTAGAAGTATAAATTTTCCCTTGAGTAATGCTTTGGCTATATCACACAAATTTTGGTATATTGTCTCATTGTCTTCATTATCTTTAATGAAATTATTGATTGTTTCTATGTTTCTAAGATATCTGGACAGTTTTTTAAAAATTTGCTGAAATATAATGTCTAGGCTTTTTTTTTTTTATCATGGCTTTCAGGTAGTCTAGTAATTCTTAACTTATCTCTCCTCAATCTATTTTCCTGGTCAACTCTCTTTCCTACGAGATATTTCTCATTTTCTTCTATTTTTTTTAATCTTTTCACTTTGTTTTATTGTTTCTTGGTGTGTCATGAAGGCATTAGCTTCCACCTGAACAGTTCTAATTTTTAAGGAGTTACTTTCTTTAGTAAGGTTTTTGTAGTACTTTTACCAAGATGTTAATTCTTTTTGTAATTTTCTTGCATAGCTCTCATTTCTCTTCCCAGTTTTTCCTCTAATGCTCTTGTTTTTTCAAATGATTTTTTTGCTCCTTTTTTATCCTTTTTTAAAACTCATCTAGGAATGCTTCTTGGACTTGTGTCCAATCTGCATTTTTCTTCAAGGCTGTGCTTGTAGATGTTTCCAAGTTGATCTCTTCTGAGTTTGTATCTTTAGCTTCCCTGTCACCATAGATGATATATATGGTCAGAATTTTTGTTGTTGTTTGTTTGTGTGTGTATGTGTGTATATATATGTGTGTGTGTGTTACATATATGTATATATACATATACCTATTTGTGTCTAATGGTAGCGATCTGTAGGGCAAAGGGGAGAAAAAAGACATTTACATGATAAACTTTATTATATACTTTAAAGGAATAGCAAGTTGTACACATTAGATATGCAATTTCATGTATGATCATCTTTTTTATTATATTATATTATGGAAATACTTGTTTTAGTCCATAAATTAAAAAAAATTTTTAAAAAGAACAGAAGCATTTAAAAACTGGCTTAGTCAGCAGATGCTTGACTTAATTTCCAAGCAGAGAGATTTGGCAGCCAATCACAACACCAAATTAGAGTAAATAAACTAATCTGTAAAATTTCATGGAAAAGGATGGTTAAAGTTTTTGTTTTAATCATGATTGTTTACAAATTTTATTCCTGAATTTATAAGTTGTTCTAGGAAATGTCTTTGCGCTGAAGCTCTAGATAATGAAAGTACGTCATCTGATCTTTTAATTTCTCCTAATGCCAATATGGGCCTCAGAGCTTAGTGCAGTGGTATGTTATAAATGCTAGCTGGTTGGAGCCAGCTTTGCTATAGCAGACCCTGAGGAGCATTCACCATTTAGGGCAGTCTGGACAGTGATTGTCTGTGTGTATATTGTTTTTCTTACTCTGCCCATTTCAGTCTGCCTCAATACATGTAAATCTTGTCTTGCATCTCCAGAAAAAAAATACACACACACACAGTTAGTTTCTTCAAGAGCAGTAGTATCCCATGTAACCACAATTTCCAACCTTATCACTTATATCACTCTTTCTCCTGATTGACTGATAGCCTGCAAACACATTTTGCATACTCCTTGTGAGATTTTTATCATGCTGTTTCTCGTCTCAAATATTCTGTTCCCTTCTTTCCTTCAATCTAAATGTGATCAATTCCTCAAATCCCAACTCAAATTCCAGTTTCTCCATGACTTTTTGATGACCCAAGTCCCCATTTACTTTGTCTCCTTTGTTTGTCAGTTAAGCATATACTACAGCATGAAATCTTTTGAAATATTAAATCCTATAATGTTACCATTTCATGCATAAATGCCATGTATACCCATCTGGATTATCAGCTTCTTGAGGGCAGGAACCATGAACTATACTTTGTATTCTGCCCAGTACTTAAAGTATAATAATGCACATTATTTAATATTTGCTGAATGGACAAATGAAATTTCTTCTCTGTACTTTGAGTTTGTGCTCAATCTTTGAAAAACTACACTTCATTTTATTTTCTTTTAAAGTGTTTCTTACAGGAAATGACAGATTTGAAGCCCAAAACATACAGAAGAGGGGAATAACTTTTATCTATCCTGAATCTGCAAGGGAAGATGAACTTCCAAGAGTATATACCTGTTTTAGTGAGCTATACCTCCCACCATATTCTACGATGGAAAGAGTGGAAGAAGTCATTCAAATAGCCATCAATAACAACAGAGGATTTAACTGTTAGCCATCATTCAAACATTTGCAAAAAAAAAGAAAGACATTGGGACTGAAAATGTACAGTAAAATGACCATGCTGCTAATTCAATATATTTATGACTTTTGTAAAAAGTAAATTATAAGAGCAATGCAGAAGCATCGTAGCCTGCTTCATTCTAATTATTAGTGTGTGTCTTCAGCATCTGATGCAATGCTTTTGACATAAGAAGTGCTTATTATGGTACTTATAGCTGTTGAATAAAATGAATGAATGAATAAGATGAGATGAGATGATAGCAATATAAATAGGAGTCGATTCAGGCTCAGAAGATGGGGCAGAGTGCAGTCAGAAGTATACACAAGATAGAAAGGATGGATGGAAGAACGCAAAATTCTTAGAACCCTAACCTGGGTTGTATGAAAGACACAGTGCTGGAAGTAAATTCATGTAGGCTAAGGAGGAGGTTAGCCTATTTTTGTTTTGTGCACAAAATCACTTTTTAGATGTAAACTTTTTTTTGCCTTTTAAATTTAATTAAAAAACCATCTCCCCATAGGAAAGGTGTAGAAATTCCTCTTCTGCTTTTCCCTGAAGTTTCTTTTTCTTTCTTTTTTTTTTTTTTTTGGCGATTGGGGTTAAGTGACTTGCCCAGGGTCACACAGCTAGTAAGTGTCAAGTGTTTGGTCTGAGACCGGATTTGAACTCAGGTCCTCCTGACTTCAGGGCCGGTGCTCTTTCCACTGTGCCACCTAGCTGCCCCTCCCCAATAATTTCTTCCTAGACTCTTCTCTGATTTTCTCTGCAAGTCCTTAAGCAAGAAAGCAGAGCTTATTTACTATACTCTCCATGCTCCAAATGACCCTTATACAAAATAACTTATGTTAGCCTCTGCTTTTCTCTAACCTTTCTGTTAATAGGATTCCCCGCTGTGAAATTCAATTCAGTAAAACTTAGGCCCACAGACAGAGCTGGTCTTTATCCTCAAAAAGTTTTCTATACAGTTATCGAGGCAACTGTAATGTAGCATAAAGAACATGGTGGTTAAGTGTGCTAGGGTCTAGTCCTGGCTTTGTGACCTTTTAGCAATTCCCTTCACCTTGGGCTCAGTTTCCTCATTATAACTCTACTCAGCTAGGTGGTGCAGTGGATAGAGTGCTGGGTCTGGAGTCAGGAGTTCAAATCCTGCCTCAGACACTTACAAGCTGTTTGACCCTGGTCACTTAACTCTATCTGCCTCAATTCCTCTTCTATAAAATAAGCTGGAAAAGGAAATGGCAAACCAACCCAGTATCTTCACCAAGAAAACCTCAAATGGAGTTGTGAAGAGTCGGATATGACTGAACAACAGCATAAAGTTCCTCACTTTAAAATTAACCAGCTCTAATTGGCAGAAAAACAATTTATCATAGTTTAAACAGAAAAATGCGCAAGGAAGACCTTCTCCACTCATATCCCATTTTACTCCTATGGTGCATTTGACCATTTCAGCCTATGTGTATTGATTTCTTCCTCAGAATTATCACGGCACTGCGCATCACTCATTTGGTCATTATTACATTCTGCATGATATTGTTATCTTGGACTGTGTTCTTTCCCCCACTCTATTATGAGGTCCCTCGAGGAAAGGGGCCTTATTTTATACATCTTACCCCGAAAGGTGGCAGGTCATAGTGGACAGAGTGCTAAATTTGGAGTCAGAAAGACTTTAAATCTTATCTCAAACACTTACTATTCGACCCTGGGCAAATTGCTTTCTCTTAAATGTCCTTATCTGCAAAATGAGAATGTTGATAATAGTACCTACCTCACAAGGTTGTTATAAAAATCAGTGTACTTAAAACAATTTTCCAACCTTAAAATTATGTATAACTAAGTTGTTAGGGACGATGACCAATAAATATTTGCCGATCTATCGATTTCATGTGTTGAGTTTTACTTCTTCAAGTTGGGCATAGGAATTTCCACTTAAAGGTAAGAATTAAGGACAAGACTTGTTGATGACTCTATTGATCAAAATTGTAAGTTTTCTGTCAACACTGTTCCAAGGTCCTCTGGTCCACTTTTCTTCTTTCAAGATTTCTCTTCAACTGGGTCATCCATGCCAGCCCATCCTCTGTTGAGTATGGAATGCCAGGTCAATTTATATGCTTTCTTTCCCATTGGCAAGGTGATGCTGTAAAGATGTGTGTAGCAAGTGAGTCAGGCTGAATAGCTGTTCATTCTCCATGTACGCCTAAGCTGCTGTGCAAATGATCACACTGAGTCAAGGAAGGGAGGACTGGTAAGGAGTGACCTTGATTGTCTTGACTGGGCCTGCAAAGGCCCTTGGCAGAAGACAAGTACTAAGGACCTACCCTAGAAGCAACAGCTGGGAAGTAATATGATGCTAAGGAAAGAATATTGGATTTGTAGTCAAAGGACCTGGGTTCAAAATCTTAATCTGCTACTTAAGTGAGACACTAGGTAAGTCACTTGATCTTTCTGTGCCTGTTTCTTATCTATAAAATGGGCAGAAGGATGATTGAGATGACCCCTCTAGGTCCCTTTCAGCTTTAATTTTAGGCTATTTTTTTTTTTTTTGCTTTTTTTGGTGAGGCAATCGGGGTTAAGTGACTTGCCCAGAGTCACACAGCTAGTAAGTGTCATGTGTCTGAGACTGGATTTGAACTCATGTCCTCCTGACTTCAAGGCCAGAGCTCTATCCACTGTGCCACCTAGCTGCCCCAAATTTAGGCTATTTTGACCTGCTGAACATGATGCTGTTAAATTTTAGAATTATTATTCTGAGCAAAACATGTTAAACAGAGCAAATGTGAAAAAAAGAGAGATGATCACGAAGTGCTACAAGGCTTCAAGAACAGATTGTGCAAGGATATTTCCTTTTTCCAGTTTTACTAAACAGTTTCATCAAATAGATCATGTACAAAGTGTCTGGAAAATCTTAAAGGCTTAGATACATGCCAATTTGAGTAAATGCCAACAATTATCAAGGGAATGCTATAGATATAATTTAGATATTTGCAAAGCTTTTAAAGAAGCATCATGCTAATTTTGTGAATAAGGGGGAAGATTGTGGGCCAGACAACTCAGACAGAATTGGCTGGATGGCCAGACCTAAGAAACAGAACCAGAAATTGCATTTGTTTTGTATGTATTCATTGTCTTATTCTGTGTATTTGTATCCCCAGTCTGTAATATAGTGCCTAGCATATAGTAGGTGCTTAATAAATGCTTGATTGAAGGTATACTTAATCTTGATGTAGGGAAAAACTTCTTAGTAGTCTGGACCCTCCAAAAGTAGACACGGCTACATTGGGACACAGTGGGTTCCACTTACAGAGTCTTCAAAAATTGGATAATCATTTGTTTGGTATGTCGTAGAGGGGACATGCATGAGTTGAAATAGATGGCTTTTGAGATCCTTTCCTCAGGGATAAAATGCTGGCTCCAGAGTCAGAAAGACCCAAGTTCAAAACCAGCCTCAGTTACAAGTGGTGTGACCCTGAGGAAGTCATTTCATCTTTTGTCTCAGTTTCCTTAACTGTAAAATGGGATTAAATACAGCACCTACTTGTGAGGTTAACCAAATGAGAATATTTGTGAAGTATTTAGCACAGTCCCTTCCCCACCCTTACAGCTCTGATATTCTGTGAAGTATATGGATCATAGCATAACAATTCAGTACGTGTCAGCATTTACATCATGCCACTGGGACCCTAGTACTTCTGATCCTGGTTTGTTTTTCAACCTTTTCAACTGGCAAAGTTTCAAGTAATAATTGCTTCTAATGCAGCATCTGAAATTTGGAATAATATTTAATTATCCCCTCAAACTCTCTTCTGCAAAGTCTTTTTAAAGTGCAAGTCTGACCGCGTCCCTCCCCTGTTCAATAAACTCCAACTGTTCCCTACCACTTCTGACCAAATAAAGGCTCCCATTCAGCTCATTTATTTATTTCTTTTGGGGCAATGGGGTTAAGTGACTCGCCCAGGGTCACACAGCTAGTTAAGTGTTATGTGTCTGAGGCCGCATTTGAACTCAGGTCCTCCTGAATCCAGGGCTGGTGCTCTATCCACTGTTCCACCTAGCTGCCCTCCCCTTTCAGCTTCTAAGGGAAGCTTTTCACAGGTTGGCTCCAACCTCCCTTTCCCATCCTGCACTCTCCAGTCCACCCTAAGTGACCTTGCTGTTCCCCACCTACATCATTCCATCTCCCATCTGTACACCAATGCCTAGAAGCCTCACTGCCTCAATTCTACCTCAGAACCTGTCATTTCTTATACTTAACCTTTCCTGATCTCCTCAGCTACTAATGTCCTCTTCATTTAAAAAAATAATAATAATCTTATATTTATTTATAGGACAGCTACGTTGTAAAGTGTATAGAGGGCTGGGCCTGGAGTCAGGAAGACTCCTCTTCCTGAGTTCAAATCTGGCAACTTATTAGTGGAGTGACCCCGGGCAAGTCAGTTATTCTTGTTTGCCTTAATCTGTAAAATGAACTGGAGAAGGAAATGGCAAACCACTTCAGTACCTTTGCCAAGAAAACCCCAAATGGGGTCATGAAGAGTTGGACACAACTGAACATGTATTTATGCACATCTTGTTTCACCTATTAGAAGGCAGAGTTCCTTGAAAACCAGGGATTTTCCTTTTTGTTTTTGCATACTCTAGCACCTCGAACAGTGCCTGGAACTTACTAGGCACTCAATATATATTTGCTGACTAATTGTAGATTAACTACTTTTCCCATGGTAATCCTGGAAATAAAGGTACAAAATAGAAGTTTTGTTATATACATCGATTTCCACTTTGTTGTAAGCTTTTGCATGAATATAGTTCAAATGAATTTATCCGAAACTATTTAAATGAACCAATTATTTGGTGTAACGCCTTTGAAAATATTTGTTATTTTTATTCATTACCTTCCATTGCCTTTAATCTACTAACCCAAATAATCCAAAAACCTTTTGGTAAACATGTTTCACTTTCAGTGGACTATAATCAAAACTAAAAACCAAGCATTTCTACAGATCAAGACTAGGGTTGTTAAGTCCAACAAGGAAGGATTTTAATGAAACAAATATAGGGATTCCTCTCTTCCCCACTGCAACTATGGAAAGGATGAAATGGAAAAACTCATTTTAACTTTCTTTAATCCAGAGTTTCTAAGAGAAAGATGAAAATCTGAGTTCCCTATGAAAACGAGATCACTCCAGCATATTAAGAACCAAGTGGAGTAAAATAAGAAATTGTTCTGTTTCAATGGAAATCACACGGCCTTTCCTACATCAAGTCTCTCAGGGTAGCCTCTGATAGCATTAATTGTGTCTAAACAGCTTGATACCCATCCAAGTCCAGAGGTGGAAGAACACATACACTGGGATGGTAATGGGCAAGAGAAGACTGTAAAAGCACAGGCTGCTGGTGCTGGTGCAACCATGAGGAAAGTTTTCTTCTACAGAGGCGGAGTAAAACAGTCCAGCTAAAGAGATCAGAGGAACAAGGACAGTCAGCGTGGGCAGAGACAGAAACATTTTCCCTGACTGCTTATCTCTTCCTCCTCCTAATGTATGGTGTCCAGGAGTCTGGTGTTTAGGAACAGCCTACTCTTGTTCTTTTTCTTCTTGTTGCTTATTCTGGTGTATGTGTATCTTTCTTGCCGCCTGGGGTATCATATTAGGAATGCCGTCAATGACTGGATAAGCAATTCCCAGTTCTTCGTTAATCAGTTCGTTTGTTGATACCTCATACCTAAGCAAAACAAGAAGTATGAATAAAATCAATTATTTAAGTCATTAAAAAAAGAATGTCCAGAACGTGGTTGTAAATAACTCAGTTCATCCAGCTCTGTCCTATAAAGCGAGTATTGCTTTAATCCAGTCTAAATTTAAACTCCCCCATGCATAACTAAACTGTTTTTCTGAAAAAGAATTTCACAATTTTCCCACTTCAGGCTGTTTCCTCTCCATATAAACTCATTTTTCTTTTTCTATTTTTGTTATACCATTTCAGACCTGCCTTTGTTCTGCCACGTTACACAGAAAACAACAAATAGCTCTGCCCACCCAAAATAGTTTCATCCCTTTTAAGAGGAAGCATAGCACAGGTGAAGAAGTCTTGGACAATCAGGAGGGACCCGAGTTTAAATGTTGCCTCAAACACTTGACTAGCTGTGTTAATATGGGTAAATCATTTCACCTCTATGAACTTATAACTCATCTGTTAATGGAGATCACAGGCTTGTGTGACAACCATTTACTGAGCAAGGTATTTTGCTAGGTATTATAAATACTAGGACAAAACAAGAGAGAGAGTGTGTGTGTGTGCGCGCGCACATGTATACACATATATTCTATTGGGATACGGCATGTACACAAGTAAACACAAAGTAATTTCAAAGGGGGAAAAGTGCTAATAATACGGAGTATCAACAAAATCTTCTTGTAGGAAATAGCACCTAAGCTGTGATGTGAAGGAAGCTAATCAGTATATGTGAGGCACCAAGGTGGTGCAGTGGTTAGAGACCTCAGACATTAGCTGTATGACTCCGGACAAGTCACTTGACCAGTTTTCCTCATCTGTAAAATAGGAACAATAATGGCACTTATCCCTGGGGCTGTTATGAGGAGCCAATGAGAATATAATTGCAGAACACTCAACACAGTTCCTGACACATAAGTGCTATATAAATGTTAGCTATCATTATTTTCATTATTTAAAGTATAGGAGGGAGTACATTCCAGACACAGAGGACCACTTAAGCAAAAGGAAGGAGGCTGTCATGAATAGACTTTTCTTTTTCTCTTCAACCTTGGACAAAGTTGATCACCCTCCTCCTCATACCCTTTGCTCCTGGGGCTCCTTCCTTCCTCAGACTGGGGAGGACAGACAGTGAACTCCTCCCACATCCTTCATTTAAGAAGGGAACCCAGGGCATGCATCTCATCAGCTGCATTCCTGACTTCATCATGCCCCATTCCCCTACCACCCTTCAGTTTCTTTTTATGTGCTGTCTTTCCCCATTAGATAGTAAACTTGAGGGCAGGGACTGTACTGCCTTTCTTTGTATGCCCAGTGCCCACTGAAGACTAGGATTTAATAAATGTTTATCTTCCACTAGTAGTATGCTATTGCTGCTGCTGCTGCTACTCTACTACCGCTACTGCTGCTGCTACCGCTACCACCAACTATTCTCTTCAGTAGCATGAAAATGCTACTGCTCCCTTCTCGTTTTCCTTCCTCATGTCTGATGACTCTTTCTCAGGCTCCATTGCTAGAACCTCAGCTAGTTCATGTCCACTAGCCTAGGACATCCCCCAAGGACCTCTCCTGGGTCCTCTTTTCTCTACATACTATTTCACTTGGTGATCTCATGCATTCACAGGGATTCAATTATCATCTCTATGAAGATGATTCTCAAGTCTATTTGTCCATCCCTAACCCCACTCCTGACACATAGTCTTAGATTTCCAACTGCCTACTGAATACTAAACATCTTGAACTGGATATCTCCTAAACATTTAAACTCAGTGTGTCCGAAACTGAACACATATTTCCCCTCAAATCCTCCCCTCTTTGTAATTCTCCTATTACTGTTGAAGGTATCATCATTCTCCCAGTTAGTTACCAAGCCCTCAATGTCATCCTCCACTCCTCCCTCTCTCTCACCCCTCATATCCATTCTGTTACCAACTCCTGTTGTTTCTACCTTCATACCATCTCTTGCATGGCCCTCCCTTACTCCTCTCATACTGCCACCACCCAACAGACTGGATATAGACCCTCCAACCTCACATCTGAATAACTGAAACAGCCTGCTGGTTGATCTCCCATCCTCAAGTCTCTCCCCACTATAGTCCATTCTCCACTCAGCTGGTTTTCCTAAAGTGTAAGTCTGTTAATGTCACCATTCAGTAAACTCCAGTGGCTCCCTATTATCTCCAGAATCAAGTACAGAATCCTATAGGGGTTTTTATTTGTTTTGGGAGGCCATAGGGTTAAGTGACTTGCCCAAGGTCACACAACTCACGTCTGAGGTCATATCTGAGCTCAGATCCTCCTCACTTCAGGGCCAGTGCTCCGTCCACTGTACCACCTGAACCCTCTGGTTTTTATAGCTTTTCATAACCTGGCCCCTTCCTACCTTTCCAGTCTTCCTACACCTTACTCCCCTCCAAATACAGTAAGACCCAATGACGTTATCTTCCTTGTTGCTGCTTTGACCTAAGAATCCATCTTACATTTTCACTGACTGCTCCTCATGCCTGAAATGTCCCAACTTCCTTAGTTTTCCTCAGGTCTTCCCTGATCCCCATGAATACTAAACTCTCCCCTTCTTATATTAACTCTTATTCCATTTTGTTAAAGAAAAAACAAACACAACTAATCATTTTTGTAACCTTCACTGCTGCAGAACAGTTTGAATAGCTCCATGCTGAAGCATTCTAGGGGCTGGATAAAACAGAATTAGATCTGAACAAGAAACCAGGAAGTCTGTTGCATACATGGCATAAACAGAGTATGTAATATATAAGCGGTATACACAGTATATATGCACACACACGTGTGTGTACATACATATATATATATATATATATATATATGCGGCCCACATGCATTATACAGTATGCATGCTGCATAAATACAGTATATGAAATCTATCGATCTATCTGGAGGTGGAGGTGGATGATGCTGGGAGGCTGTTTCCTGGCTGTTATGCCCTACACGAGCCTCGGTTTCTTGTCTACAAAACGGGAATAAACAACAGCAGCCTAGGTCTCGAGCTAGGGTGCAGACTTGAAATCAGGAGGAGCCAAACCCCGTCCCCTTGAGAGGTCAGGTGACTCGCTCCGGTCACGTGGGCGGCGCTATCTCAACGCGGGTCCCCTCGGCGCCCCGCACTGCCTGGGGTCATAGGGGGGGTCATCTGCCCTCTCCGGGCCTCGGTTCCCTTCTATGCCAGAGGCAGGGGCTAGGCTAGGCCCGGCCCGCCCCGCCCGGGCTCCCCGCAGGGCGCCTCACCTCAGAGGCTTCTTGGAGAGCGGGCACACCAGCACGTCCAGCAGGGCCGCGTCAAAGGCGGCAGGAGGCGAGGCCGGGCCCGACTCCGGGCTGTCGGCGGCAGGCCTGGGCCCCGCCGCGTGCACCGCCCTGCTCCCGGCGGCCGATGCCCGCAGCGCAGACGCAGCTCGTCGCCACGGCCCGCTCAGCATGGCCCTTCCCGCGGCGGGGAACCCTCGGCTGCCTCGTTCTCGCGCCCGCTCCGGCTCGGCCGACGACGCCAGGCCCCATCCGCCAGCTCCTTCCGGTGCGTGGAGGAAGGCCGCCCCAGCGCAGGCGCGCTTCGCACTCTACTTCCTACTTAGTCACCAACTGGGGAGGGGGAGGGGGGGGAGGAGGAGGGCAGGGGCGGGGCGGGGAGGGGCGGGCGTGGCCTGTCGGGCCGTGTCGCGGCCGAAGCGGCTCCTCGGCCTTCTAGAACCCGCCTGTCCTGAAAAAGGGATCTTTTACCCGAACTCTATCCACAGTACCCTCATTCGTAACAAACCTAGATGTGGAAGGGACCTCAGAGGCCCGTATTGCATTCTCCCCAGTTTACAGAGAAGGAACCTGAGGCCCACCGGTGGGAATGACTTGTCCAAGGTCCCACCCATAGCAAGCATGAAAAACGAGATTGGAACTCGGGTCCTCAGACTCCAGAGCCGGGTCTCCCGCCGCGTCACGCTGCTAGTTCAGACTTTACTAAAACTTTACTGTTTGGCCTTTAAAGCCCTTCGTGACCTGTTTCTGGCCGTCCTTTCCAGGTGTATTGTATATTCCCCCCCATCACACTCTGCAGTCCAGCCAAACTGACCTTCCCCATGCCAGCAATGCCCCCCCTTCTCCTCTCTGCGCCTTGGAATCGCCTCAAAGCTCAAGCGCTACCGCCTGCATCTGTTATCAATCAAGCAATCAATATAGCAGCGGTGTTTATTAAAACAGACGAAAGTTGAAGATACTGTTCTTAGTACCCTCCATTAGAATTTAGAGTGACCCAGCTTATGAAAGTGAAGTAGCCCCATCGCGCGAATGCTGCAGGAGCAATATGTGCAAAAACAGGTATGGCACCCACACAAGCAGTGCACAGACAGGCAGAGCACACGCACGAGCAGTGCACAGAGTCCTAGCACATACAAGCAGTGCCCAAGCAGGTAAGAGGACCACACATAAGATAGACATAGAGAGGTATAGTACGACTCGGCCATGTACTTCCTTTCCCAATCCACACCATCAGCAGTCTGGGTCCCCAGAGCTCGGTTGTTGGAGTCACCCTACGGGGATGTGGGTGGAGGTGATGAAGGCCTCCACCAGGGTGCTGACAGTGTCAGAGGACAGAAGGGGTGGTGGTGGATGATGATGGTGATGATGATAACTAGCGTTTATATAGCACCTGCTGTGTGCTGGACACTGTGCTAAGTGCTTTTCAAATATGTCAACTGATCTTCACATACCCCTGAGAGGCAGGTGCTATTATTATTCCAGTTTTACAGTTGAGGAAAGTGAGACAAACAGGTTAAGTAATGAAAGAGAAGGATGTCTAGGGGGGAAGATAATAAGTTCATTTTGGCCATATTGAGTCCTTAGGGCCTGTGAGACCATCTGCCTGCCAAGAAACAGGGCATCCTTGGCCCTTTTAGTCAGTCAACAAACATTTATTATGTACCTACTGTCACTATAGGAAGAACCGAGAATACAAACAAAGGTAAAAGACAGCCTCTGCTCTCAAGAAGCTTACAATCTAATGAAGTAGAAAAGATGCAAAAATAACTGTGGACAAATTCCATTCGAGGCACGAAGAATGAAGTCTCCGATCATGGGAGTGTACCGCAGGAATCTAGAAGGCAGAATCCAGAATCCAGTTGAGAGAAATGATTTTCTATTACATTAATAACCAATTATTCAGTTAGGATTGAGGTTTTTCCTTTCTATTTCCTCATTCAGCCCTTTCAGATCATTGGGTCAATCTCTGAGGGACATTGCTGATGGATGAGATTGCCCAAATCTTCCATCTTGGGCAGGACCCCACCCACTAGAAGACCTTACTTCTATTTAAAGTGTGGACAAAATGCCATCTAGGGGAGTTTTTACCCCAGGGAAATGAGCCCCTGTTCTTAGAACCCTCCATTAGAATTTAGAGTGACCCAGCTTATGAAGGAGAAAACCAACCAGAGTGGTTTGGGTAGAGATGGATTTTTTTGTACAGATTCCTAAAGGAGGCTGAATCTCATGATCAAGTCAGGTTTTCAACAGGAGGAGCTGAAGACGTTTAGCCCATCTCCTCATCATATGTCCACCCTCTCATTAATTGCTCACAAATCAGGGTTGATTTTCTTTTTTTTTTCCCTTTTTTTTGGTTAGGCAATGGGGTTAAGTGACTTGCCCAGGGTCACACAGCTAGTAAGTGTTATGTGTCTGAGGTCAGATTTGAACTGAGGTCCTCCTGAATCCAGGGCCAGTGCTCTATCCACTGCGCCACCTAGCTGCCCCAATCAGGGTTGATTTTCACCTGTCGGGGGCACCGACTTTTCCAAAGCTATTTAAGCATTCAGGGATATCCATGGTTTTGTCTTTGGTTACTAAGGAAGACAAGTACCTACCAATGTATTGATTATTTGCTGGCCCAATTAATAAATTGATTATTAATTACCCAGAAACTCTGTCTCTTGACTTTTCATTTGTCTCACAATCCAGCATTAATGCCTTAAGAAACAAGGAACTAGGGGCAGCTAGGTGGCAAAGTGGATAGAGCTGTGGCCTTGGAGTCAGGAGGACCTGAGTTCAACTGTGGCCTCAGACACTTAATATTTACTAGCTGTGTGACCCTGGGGAAGTCACTTAACCTCGATTGTCTCACAAAAAAAAGCAACAAAGAAACAGGGAACTATTATTTGAGTGACCTTCAAAACCACAGTGATTCCACCTTTGAACTTAAACTTGATTAGACTGATGCTATATAGTAAATGAGCTAAGTTATGCCTTTTTCATCAGAGACGAAGGGAAGAGAATGCCCTTAAGGTATTGGGAGAAATGTTTAAATGTTTATTCTTGCTTTATCTTTGACATAAATTACCCTTGTGTAAAAGCTATTCACGGTAAGTGGTTAAATGGAATAGGGGAACATAATAGGGGTTAAGATAATAGCAAAGAAAAGAGATACCCCCAGCCCTCAAGGCAACAATGTACGAAGTCTGGCCCTGAAAGAATAGGGCCAGAGCTCCCTCCTTAGTGGAAGTATTAGGAGATTCAAGAATTAGGAAAACATCTTCTGGCTAATGTCAATCATGAAGTCAAAGATTGATATTAAAGATATGTTGTTTTCCTAAATTAGGCAATGAGAAATTATTTTGCCCTGAATAAATTACTCGACTGTCTTAGAATTCATGTATTGAGTTAAAATTATTCCTTTTGACATTTAGCAGTGTTTTAATTTTAAAGTTCTTTATAAACTAAGAAAACTGCTGAGCATAAATTTAGTACCTTAAAAAAGAAACCAAGAGAAACTGTGCCATCATAACTTTGTATTAGATAAGAGCTGAGTAAAAGCAAAAGAGGTCACTCTGTTTCTGTGTGCATTTGGCTGACCATTTAATTAATCCTCAAAAACCTTTTGTAAGATAGGTGATGATAAGGAATATCAGCTAACCTTTACAGAAAGGGAACTGGTGCACAGCAACATTAAATATTAACAGCAGAGGCTGGGCTCTGGCCTGTTTGTTTCTTTAACCACCAAATGCCCTTAAACAAAACTTTACTGAAAATAAGAAGTTAAAAATGAACGAGAAATTTCTGGGTCTGTGTTTATTTTTTTTAAAGCATTTTTAAACTGCTAAAGATAAAATAGAATTTTGTGGACTGTATTTTCAGGTAGATGCATAACATAATGTGAAACTTTTTTCCTCTGCTATTCTTACTACTGCAGCTCTCCAGATTGGTAATTTATTTAGAATAATGTTGAATAAGGGACAGCTAGGTGGTGCAGTTGGCCTTAGAGTTGGGAGGGCTTGAGTTCAAATATGGCCCTAGCCACTCTAACTAGCTGTGTGACCCTGGGCTGGTCACTTAACCCCCCCCCCAAAAAAAAAAACAAAAACAAAAAATGAAACAAATAACTTCCTATTAGTTTTGTACCAAAAGTTGTTCTTAGGCTACTAACTCTGGAAAACTTAAAAGAATTACCTCCCATATATAAAGGCACAGTTAGTAGTTTTTTTAAGCCCAATGGTCAAAAATACTTTTTAAATTTAGAAAGTGGCACTTCTTTGAAGTTTATCTTTATTGTTATTATATATTATTTACTATTTTGTTTATTGTTATAAACGAAGGCACATGTTGATTCTCAAGCCTTGTGCTACAATATGTGGTAGAACTAGTAACAATCACTAGCTAATGTGACCTTATTTCATTAAAGTGAAGGGTTTTTAAGTATCTCTTTCAATCTGAATCCAGAGCTCTATCTTCAAGACAATAAAAGTGTGCACTTGGAGCCAGGAAAAGCCTGGATCGGATTCCTGCCTCTGACACTAGCTGTGTGACTGGGCAATCAGTCAAACAACAAGCAAGTGAGAACAGCAGCTGCATGGTTCCAGTTTGACTTGACTGTAGAATGCAAGAAGGCAAACAAGGTATAGTATAACAAGACTGGAAAGGTGAGTTGAAGCTAGGTTATTATGAAGGGCTTTAAGTGTCTAAGGTGGAGTGTGTGTTTAGCAGGAGAGGTCATAGGGAACCACTTGAGTTTGAGGAGCAGAAAATGACCTGTCTGATCTATGCTTTAGAAAAATCACTTTGGCAGCTCTATGGAAGATGGAGTAGAGAAAGGATAGAGTTGAGTCAGGGAGGCCATTTAGGAGGCTCCTACAAGAGTCTAGTCTAGAGGTGATGAGATGAATCACTTAAAAGGGAGGAAAGATACAGGACAATTGCTTTCAGGGATGCATCGATCAAGTAAGAGTTTTCTAGGATGGGGAAGACATGTACATGTTTATAAGCAGTAAGAAGTAATTGAAGATTAATGAGAGAGAAGGATAATAGAGGGGACAGTCTATTGGAGAAGATGAGATAGGATGGGATCATTTGTGCATGTGGAGGGGTTTACCTTGGCAAGGAAAAAGGCCATCTCTTCATGTAAGACAGGCGTGAAGGAAGAGAGTGCAGGAGGCATCTGAGTGAAATAAGAGGAGGAGAAAGAAAGGAGCTCTCGGTGAATGACCTCATTTTTTTTCAGTGAAATATAAAACAAAGTTCTCAGCTGAGTGGGGGGAGGGGAGGCTGTGGGAAGTTTAAGGAGAGAAAAATGAAAGTTTGGAAAAGTGGCTGTGGTTAGGATTATGAATCAATTAGGGAGGTGTAAAAGTTGTTTGGGGGGCAGTAAGGGCCCATTTGAGATTATGTAAAATAAACGTATAGACCTTGTTGTGGACCCAGTGATCACAGTTTTGTGATTTTTTTCCAGCTTTGTTCAGCTGCAAGTGAGTAGGAGGAAAGGCAGCAGCAGATGGTGTGAGTAATTCAAGGCTGGGGTTTGGCAGGGCAAGACTGTCTATAGGATAAAGGGGTAAGGGACTCAAGAGAAGAAGGCAGTGTAGAGTTGAGCTGTTTGCCAGTGTGTCAAAATGGTCAGGGGCATGGCCAGAGCAGGAATGATGACGTGAGGCTGAGAAATGGAAAGTCCTGGTGAAGATAAAGATCCAGATTTAGAGTACAAGGCAGAAGGAAATCAACCAATCAGTAAATGTTTATCTATGTGTCAGGCACTGTGCTAAGCACTGGGGATACACATATGACAAAAGAAAGACAGCATTTTCTACCCTCAAGGAGCTTACAATCTAATAGGAGTACAAAACACAAAAGATAGCTGTGAAGCTGGTGCAGTGGGAGGTACCTGACATGGACATGTGGTGGAGAAGTCAGTCAGAGAATTCCCAAAGTAGTACAGCCAGGTGAGAAAAAAAAGACAACTGAGCTTAGCTCTCTCCTTAAATGGAGATTTGTAGTTCATGACCCCACCCTTCAACGAGTGAAGCAGAGGGCGGTGATGAGGTGGAGTATCAAAGTGGATGAGATGTGACAGGATGATGAAGTTATCTCAGTAATGAGCTTCCTGGATATTGTGGTGACATCAGTCAGAGAAATCCCAAAGTAGTGCAGCCCCTTGAGAAATGGAGAGTGATGACAGATTAGGATCAGGTAAAGGAATGTCAGAGTTCATGGACATAGATGTTGTGGGTGAGGGCAAGATCAAGAGTAGGACCATCTCCACGTGAGCCATGATGGGGTAGGAGAGTAGGGTAAGGGAAATAAGAATTGGGAGGTTAAAGAATGTGAGGGAGTATCAATATGTATACTAAGGTCCCCTAATATGAGGGTGGGAGCTGGGGAGGGGAGAAAATCTGAGCCAGGTGCTGAACTTGTTGAAGAAGGTAGGACAGTGTCTTAGCAGTCTGTAGACAACAGCTACCAGAATCTTGTTGGGTGATAAATATGGACCGGATGAAGCTCAAAGGAGGACAAGTTACTGGGGGGATAGTAGTAGAGAAAGTGTCTGGGAAGTGGCTGTGGGGAGCTGGGCATATTCCAACTCCCTCAATGCAACCAGTGAGTCTAGGGGAATGAGTGAAAGTGCAACCAGTCTTGGAAAGGATGGAAGCTGTGTCATCTGGAGGAAGCTAGGTCTTGGTGAGTGCAAGAAAGCGGAGGGAGCAAGAAAAGGTTTAAGATGAAATCTGGTTTGTTACTTATAGAACAGACATTCCAGAGAGCACAGGAAAGGTTGGGTAGCTTTAGAGTGAGAGATTAGGGGGGATGTGAAGGTGGGAGCTGTTAGTGGGGGATGGAGAAAGAGGTTTGAATGATGGTGACTGGGAATTTGAATTACTTAGATTGGGGGAGATCTGATGGGGTGGAAGTACATTAGTCATTGAAATATAAGTTCAGGATGTTATCCAGAGGGATTCATCCTTAGATAGAATTATCCCAAAGTGTCAGGCTGCTGTGTGTATGGCTGGAACGTGGGGGTTGGGGAAAGGGAGGATACCCTTTTGCATGCATGAATATTAATACCAGGATTTGCCCTGTATGACCACCCTTTCAGTGTTCCTCATTCTGCCAGCTAGAATATGCTCCTCACTGGAAGCCTCACTGGGGGGAATAATAGCATATTTCTGTTCCTTTAGAGATCTCTGCTGAGAAGCTGCCTTATTTCTTTTTTCCCCTCCCCCTTCAAGATGGCTACCATTAGACACAAATCTGTATGTATGTGTGTGTATGTACACACATACACACACACACATATATACATACATACATATACTTACATATTTTGTCAGTTCTTTTTCAGAATTCAAACAGCATCTTCCTTCGTAGGATCTTTGTGGTTAATTTGGGTATTGGTAATAGTCAGAATGACTTTGGTAGTTCCAGGTTGGTATTTTTAAATTTTTTTTTCAAAGTTGTTCTTAAAACAATACTGCTGTCACTGTATACAGTGTTCTCTTGGCTCTGCTCATTTCACTCTTCATGACTCTGTGGAGGCTTATCCATGATTTTCTAAAATGACTGAGCTCATCATTTCATATAGCAGAGTAATATTCTATCATGAACGTATACCCCAATTTGTTTAGCCATTCCCTCATTAACAGGCATCCTCACAATTTCCAGTTGTTTGCCACCACAAAGAGAGCTGCTATAAATATTTTAGGACATGTAGGTTCTTTTTCTTTTTCATCTTGGGAAACAGACTTAATAGTGGTATGGCTGGGTCAACAGGTATAGGGCATTTACTAACTCTTTGAGCATTATTCCAAATCTCTCTCTAGAATGGTTGAATACCAGTTCGCAGATCCACCAACAATGAATTAAGGGCCCAATTTATCCACATCCCTTCCAACATTTGTCACTTTCCCCTTCTGTCATTTTAGCCAATCTAATAGGTATAAAATGATATGTCAAGGTTGTTTTAATTTGCATTTCTCTAATCAATAATGATTTGGAGCATTTTTTTCAAATGACTATAAATTGTTTTGATTTCTTCATTAGAAAACTGCCTGTTCATATCCTTTGACCATTTATCAATTGGCAAATGACTCACATTCTTATAGATTAAAACAAAGTTCTTTATATATTTGAGATATGAGACTTTTATCTGAGGAACTGTCTATAAAATCCCCCCAAGTTTTCTGGTGAATCTTGAGCCTTCTCCTTATTTTATTTTAACCTAGCCCTTTGTTTTCAATGGGCAGCTAGGTAGTTTTATCTTGGAGTCAGGAAGACTCATCCTCCTGAGTTCAAATCTGGCCTCAGATACTTCCTGGCTGCATAACCCTGGTAAGTCACTTAACCCTGTTTGCCTCAGTTTCTTCATCTATAAAATGAGCTGGAGAAAGAATAGCAAACCACTCCAGTATCTTTGCCAAGAAAAATCTCAAATGGGGTCATGAATAGTAGGACATGACTGAAACTGACACTTGTTTTGAATAGAAGTTGCCTCAGGTAAGCATGATGGAATCCTAATAAAGCTGCCCACAGCCCCAATATGGACCCCACTGAACAGCAGGCCTGTCCTGATTTAACCACACCACAGGCCCCCAGACTCAATCATAGGCTTCACTGAACAGCAGGCCCACTGTCCCTAGCTAGCCACTGCTTTCCCCCCACCCTGACTCAGTATCCTAACTTCCTCATCTTTGCCTCACTGCTCACCAGAACAAGAGATGTGTCCATGAACTCATACTTCTCACAGAAACAGCAGGCGTGTCCATGTGATGGAATTGTAGCCATTGTCTCTCGCTAGCCACTGCCTCTAGACCCATTCCTCATATTTCCCACAGAAACGGCAGGTGTGTCCATGCACTCAACCACAACCACAGCCATCTGATCTCAGACAGGACCACAACAGCCAGCCAATCAGAAAGCAGCCCCATCAGGATGAGGGAGCAGGATGTGGACCCCAAAACAAGAGAAGGGACTTTCCCTAAGTAGGTACCTGTGCAATAGAAAAGGCTGTCCTTTAGGTGAGCTTAGGACGTAGAGAGGCTTATTATAGTATCATTATCATATATTAATGCCCCACCAGTGGGTTTTTTGTATGCATTGTGGGTAATAGAGGGCAAAGCTCCACTGAGGTTGAGACCTCTTTCCTATTACCTAATACCTTAACAAAATCCTCCTACCTTTTTAATATTCATAATTTCTGTTGTGTAATCAGCATCATTACACTATGCAATTGCCCGTCTTGTCTTACCAAATTGCTGGTTCCTCTTGGAACTCAGCCTGTTGGAGAACATCACTCTCAACAAGTGCCTTTATTGGATTGAAGATGGCCTGAGTCTGTGAATTCATTGGAGACGACCCCCACAAAACACCATGAAACTGAAACAAACCCTCTTGAGGAAGCTTCTTAGAAAGTTTCAAGTTTGGGTGGTCAGTTTGTTTCAGAAGTGAGATTTTATCTTCCAGTCTAGAAAATACTTCTTGTTTGTATTATTTTCTTTTGTTTTTCTTCATAGGAAGTAGAACCCTTTTTAGAGTCACAGAAAATTTTGTTCCTGGTGGTATCCTGGAATTTTTTGGGTAACTTTTGTTTTTAATTTTAGTTTATTTTGGAAATGTAACAAGCTTATCTTGGCTTGCCTTCATGCAACTGTTATATGATTGCTGTCTCTATTGATATAGCATATTTCTTGAAAGCCTGAATGGTGTTGAAAGGAAAATTCTTTATTTGGGCTTTCACCCTGATTAACAAGGTGAAACTCAGAACAAAGAGAAATAAAAGGAGTTTGTTATAAGTACATCAAGGTAGCAATATGTAGATGGGTTGATAGCTGGAGATCAGCAATGGCTTCAAGGTGGGAGCAGCTTTTATAGGTAACTTTAAGACAATCCATTTAGGTCCACTTCAGCAAAAGAGGCTGGGCCCTTGCATCTCAGTTCCTCCCCAAGGTAGCAAAAATGCGACAACTTATAGGAAGGGGGACGTGCCAAAGAGCAGGCAATACAAAAAGCTGCAGACTTGATGACTCCTTCTCTGCCAGAGCCTCTCCTAGCACTGATTGATAAGTAGAGTTGGGAACAGTGGGATACTGAGTCACCATAACTTTCGAGGTATTATTATTGATACTTGTTGATGCACGAAAAGGTCATTGGTATTATTTTCATGACTTGAATTCATGCCTTTTGCTGTGCTTTTATACGAAGCATGGTACATTAATCAAAGACCATTATTGTATATTTATTGATTGCATTGATATATATGTTAATGTGGGCAAACATGGAATAGTCTCTAGAAGAGATGGGAGCAAGGTTAAGAGATAGGTACTGTCTTGCTTTTGCAATGAAAAGGCATAAATGTTTCCTTCTGTCAGGAATAGACTCAGACTATAAGAATCAGGACATGTTAAGAATATCAGGCAGATAAATGAAAGAACTGCAAGAGTGTATAATTAAGACCATTTATTTTAAGGCAAGTGAGATGACTCAGGAAGTTTTTCTAATGCTGCCTGAGAATTTTGACCCTGGAAATTTCAAAAGAATTGAAAGTAGGAAATTGTTCTTGGCAATTTCACACTTATCCATGCTTTGAGGATGAGGAATTTCTTAAAAAGGTAGTGGCCCTTCTAATCGAAGGAGGCATTCCTATGGAGAGACTCTCAGAAACAAATCCAAGAATTCCACTCTGTGATGATAATTTTTCATTTTCCTTTTATTCAATTTTGTTATGCCATTTCTCTGGAACATTTGGTTAACCGAAGCCTGTTTCCTGTTAATATTAACTTCACCTGGCTAAACCTGACTCAAGGAATTATAGTATTACAGAAAATGTGTGACATTTCTGAGATAAGAAACCAAACCAGAGGAAGAATGGAATACAGCATCTTTAAAAACCTACTGAAAGATTGTATTTATGGGAAGATTCTCCTCACTAACTATTTGTGGAAGACTTTTCTTGACACCAAACCTTAGGCTATTTTTGTGACATGCAAATCCCTTCCCCTGAATTAGCTCATTATTACTTCTTTAAAATGTAGCCTTGTAGTTTTGTAAGTGTAGGTCTTTCCAAACTCGGTGTTTAAATCTGTAACATAGTATAATAATTTGTTCTACCTTAGTTTGTTCAACCTTAATTCAGGGAAGCATGAGAAAATGAAGCTGTTTGACTAGACCCAAGAGGCCATAAAGATTGTTATATGTTAAATTATTTTTTTGTTTCTCTGATGTAATTTTCTCTATAAAAAGCTTGTTAGAAACTCCAATCTGGGTTCAGAGTTATCTTGCTACTTCCTGAACCTGTACTTTGTTGTTCAGTCATTTTTCAGTCATATCCAACTCTTCACGACTCCATTTGGAATTTTCTTAGCAAAGACACTGGAATGGTTTGCCGTGATTCTGACAAATAGCTTTAAAGTGGAGAGCTTCAAAGGCAGCAGATGTGCTCATAGAGGCAAGGCCAGATGTGACCTTGTAGGAATGTATACAAACTTTAGTTTCGATGTTTGAGGGGGGAGTGCAAGGGGAAGAGCCCCATGCAGAAGCGATAGTAAGAATTGAAAATGTGGACTGCAGTGCTGTCCTGGACAGTGAATCTCAAGTTACCGTCATTTTCCAAACTTTTTACGCCGAGTATTTGGATAAAACACCTTTAAAGCTCATGACAGAGCTTGGGTGTGGTAGCTTTGAGTGATAAACTGTCCAAACCTGGTATATATCCAGGTGAGCTTGAAATCTGCCAAGGAAGTAGTTGGTGTCAACAGAAAAATTGGCATTGGCTGTAGCATGTCTACATCTCTCCTACTCATGAGAGTGTCAACAATGATTGGGACTAAGTCTGTTCTTTCTGTATTCTAGCAGGATATTGCAAGCGACAAGCTGGGGCCTAATATCTGCACACTTTGGTCATCTATGCAGGCTGTTTGAGGACAGATATTCTAGTGAACACCACAGAAGCCCCGACTGTTCACTTTCTGATATACACCCTGAGGTATTTAACTTTGGAGACTCGCCAGTAATACAGGAATGGAAGGAGAGGCTGAGTCTGGAGCTCAGCAAGAGACAAGGGAGTCTTGTTGTGTGAGTGGGACATGGGATGTGTGCCAGGTACAACAAACAGAATCCAACTTACTGATTCCAGACCGCCTAGAGAGAGATCTAGAAGAATTTCTGTTTATGGTGGAAGATCTCAGAAACCATCTCAAAGAAATGCTGGCTAATGGCATCACCACAGAATCCAGTAGCCCTTATACTTCCCATAGTGGTGGTGAAGAGGTTTAGGGTGCTGGGACCCCAAGAAGGCCAATGCAGAGTTGCCTGGAATGAATTCATACACTTAAACCATCTTCCAGTCAAGTGACAAAAGTTTATTATAATGCCAATAGAAGTGGGCAAGGGTTCTTAGGGAACCTGCAAGCTAGTGAGGATGGTGCTTGGGCTAATATGGAAAAGGGACAAGGGAAGACTGCTAAGGATGCTAATTAGGTAATTTAGAGGCTACGAGGGATATATCAAGGGTCCAGGTGTCTTTGGGGACAGGCACCTATAATCTATGGGTGGGAAAATACAGGGAGTCTGTAGAGATAACTTTGTTGATACCAGACGTTGAGGGGAAAAAGATAGTTTTTGTTTAGCTGCCGGAGGCATGGATCTTGGGGATCTGGCACAAGGATGAGTCCTTGGGCCAGCCAGGAGCAAATATCCTCGAGCCAGGGATCCCTGTGTCTGTTCTGATAACAGAGGGAGGCCTGCAACAAGGGAAAAATTTCTCACAGAACGGGCCTACTGAGAGATTGGGAGGCTTCCAGAGATGTCATGTCAGGTCTGGGGCCCAAGCACAAGTAACCCATCATTGGTGCCTAAGGAAAATGGAAAGATGTAGACTTTGCACCAAAGGACCAAAGTGGACCAGAGCACGATGCCATGGGCACAAGATGCCCTGGACTGTCTGCGGGGCTGCCAGTAGTTTTCAGTTTGGGACTCGTATAGTAGGTCCAGCCAGATTCCTATGTCTGAAAAAGACAAGGAAAATGTTGCTTTCACCTGTCCAGGCCCTTACAAGTAAGCTGACCATTGGAAAGCTAACCCTACCAAAATAATTGAGAGATTGGGCAACTTGCCTGTTCTCAAAATAGCCCCAGAAAATGGAAAGGGTCCTATCAGGACTATTCACTGAGAACACCTGATGCCCACAGGAGAGTTAGTTGGACTTTCCAATGAGCAAGGGAGGGAAAGGATGGACATTTGTGTGGGAGAAAGCTGAGGAAAACAGACTGTTCACCAGCTGCACAGAGACTTTCTGACCCAGTATATAGGGCTGAAGGTGATGCATCCAGTGAAGGAAACACACAGGACGGAAGACCTGAACCCAGAGGCAAATCCTTTCCTTCCCAAAACTGTTACAGAGACTCCTAGGGTATACTTGAAACCCAGAAAATACTGATAGCCAACCTGGTATGTTTGTCAGCCCGGGTATGGATACACAAGTCTAGAGTAATCAGTCAGTGACAGAAAATCTAGACCTAGTAGACCAGTCACTAGGCTATGTTATGATGTTACAGATATAGTTACACATGTATCTAGGCGAGAATACTAGAGATTGCTCATGTTAAAAGTGTCTTGAACTTTTGTGTCTTGCCTGTATACTCTACATGTGGATTATTGCATGTCTGAATATTGCTCATTTAAAGAAATACTTTGCTGTTGCATTCATTTGACTGTGTTGTGTTATGTTCAGGTATAGCAATGTCTGTGTGTTAATTGTTTTCTGTACACGCTAATGCTTATAGTTACGT